CTCCTTGTTGTTCAATTCAAGTTCAAAGAAAATCATCCATTGTTACTCGATTGAGTTCAGCTCAAGTCAGTTTGAGTCAAGTTCTTTGTTCTGTTGTTTAAGTCTAGTTCATGCTTGAGTTCCTTGTGGTCTTCTTGAGTTCAAACTCAATTGAAGTTCAAGTTTTTTGGGGTTCATTTAAATTCTAGTTTAGGTTCAAGTTAAGTTCATTTATTATTTGAATTGAGTAAAGGTCCTTTGCATTCGCTCCAAGTTAGCTGCTATCCAAATTAAGCTCATAAGTCCCAAGTAGTTTTTGTTCAATTCAAGCCAAGTAAAGTCCCTCATAAGTACAAATTTCGACAGGGCGTCTCTGTCACGACCCAACCCGACCGGGACGGATCCCGCTCGCATCGGGTCGTGCCCAAACTCAAACTGACTGAACTGATTCCATGATCTGGCTTTGGAATTTGTTTCAGAACTTTCTTCCAAACATTTACCCACAGAAACAGACACACAGAGCTATTATAAACATCAAAATGCAGCGGAACCGATCATCTATCTTTTTCTTCCTCAAAAGAATCATATACAAATACAGCTCATGGCTTTCAGACAGAAAGAAAACAGAACAGAAAAGCCATGACTGTACAAAAATCAAAAGTACAAAATACCTATAACAGATCAGACTCTGAACTCCTACTCCAAGACTTCCTTCCCTTTCCCAGAACCTGAAAACCACGCAGAAAACAAGGATGAGCTACAACAGCTCAGCAAGACATCAAACCTCCAATCAAAATCCTCAGAATTCACATCAAACACATTAGACAAAAATCCGTACAGAAATCAGATCAACAGATTCGTATATCGAATCAAAACAGAATCAAACAGATCAGGTCAAATCAAAACAGAACAGAATCGTATCAGAATCATAAATCATATCAAAATCGTGCGGATATCCAAAATTATATCAATTCAGAACATATCAAAAGTCAGGACATATTCCCTGACTCTGACAGAATCTCAACGATTCTGGCCCCTTATGCCTCCCTTCCCAGACACTGACAGAATCTCTCGAATTTTGGCCCCTTATGCCTCCCTTTATGCTCATGGCACCAGAACAGAACTTATCATCGGATCCGGAACAGAACTTGTTTTCAGATTTCAGAGCTCATTCAGATTTCCCTGACACAGACGGATCTCACAGGATCCTGACCCCTTATAACTCCCTTTTCATAGCATACAGTCATATCATGTCATTTCAAAGCAAATCCAGACAATTTCAGAAATCGTACAAAAATCCAGCGGCATAACGACAGTATACGAATTTTACACAATTCACAGATTCAGAAATTTACCAAATTACCACAAACATTCACAACAACATTATAAGACTTTCATTCTACTGCACAGACAATTTAGACATCATCAGAAATTACAGTCAAAAAGAAAAAACCGCCGAATCAAAACTATCCGGTCAAAATTCTCCAGAAAATAATTAAAACGTGCGCACTCAGCACCTCAGAAACATACCAAAAGTTACGCGGTAAAAACTGAACCAATCGAAAAATACGGACGAAATTCGCTAACGAAAACGAAATCCGGACAGAAAAATCGTTCAAACTTCACCGTTCTGAAAATTGAGAAAGGCAGAATGTGTCTTACCTTGCGTACACCAATTTCTTGAACTGTCTCGACGGACGGAAACGGACCGGCGTAGCCCAAAAATCCACTTTTTCTCTTTTGCCCTCGACTTTCTCTCTCCTCAAATGATATTTTATAAAAATCTGATTTTCTCTCTATTCAAAACGAGCTGATTTTCATTAAATAAACTTGAGATCGGCCCGGCCGATCGCACGATCGTCAGGACGATCTGAACAAAATCACTTTGTTCTGGGACGATTTCTCAGGACGATAATTAATTTTCTCGGACGATAAAAACCCCTACTCTCTGTCTTTTGCATTGCTCTGATCGTCTCGTCCCTCTGATCGTCCCGGGACGATCCCCGATCGGCCCGGACGATACTGGGAGGAAAACTTTCCTGTAACTTCTGTACACATTTTGTAACAAAACTTCAACTGATCGTCCCGGGACGATCCACGATCGGCCCGGACGATACTGGAGCAAAACTAATGTTACAGTCTCCCCCCGTTCAGGATAAACTACGAGAAATTGTGCCTTCCCACCATGCACAATAAAGACGTGTATGATAGATGTCCATGGACACTGCAACCGTGTCTTCATTCCTACCACACTAATAAAAACGTGTATGGGGTCTTTGAGGGCACCTGTTTTAAAAGGCTGTTGGCTTTCCTCTGCTCAAGGCTACTTATAAATAACCCTGCATCGCCGTAGGCGTCACACCGGGTTCTCATCCCACCACGCGCAACAAAAGCGTGTATAGGCGATTTTCTGGTGCGCCGCGAATGTAAAAATGGGATTTAAGTGATTATCCGCTTCGTCGAGAGCACCGTGAAGCACTTCCTCCTACCCGCAAACAAAAGCGTGTATAGGTGGTTATTTTATCGTGCTGCAAACGTTAAAGGTGGGTTCTCAGAGTTTCAGGGTTTAGAGGGGTTATACCTTTGCGACCGCCAGGTGAAGGGTACAAAAATCGAGACAACATTATTTTTCCTTTTTTTTTTAAATCTATCATTTTTTTTTCTTTTGGAAGCTCTACTCTCTTTTTTTTCGTCTTCCTCTCTCTCTCGGATGGGGGTCACTTGGGTTTGACTGAGGATAAGAAAGGGTTCGGGCTTGATATGTTTTGCGAACCAGACAAGGAGATCGGGCAGAGAGGAGGCGTCGGCTAGACAGGGTCGGATGGGAGCTTCTTAGGCTTGAGGAGAGCAGAAGACTGGATTGTGGGTCTTAAGAGGTCGGCTATGGAGGGATCGGCTAGGTGAGGCTTCGATTTGGGTGGGGTTCGACACTTAAGGCGACGGGATGGGGGAGACGGTCGTAGGAGGTAGGGTTGGGTCCTGGCTCTGGCTACAAGAAGAGAACGAGAAGGAGGAGTTTGGTTAGGTTAGAGAGAAATCTCTAACTCTCTCTGTCTCTTTCTCTCTTTTTGCTTGACAAACCTACAGGATTTGGCCGAAGAAGCGTGCGAAAGGTAAGAAAGATGCTACCTTCTAAACTAGCAAGCTCCTGCCTTCTTTCTTCGTCCGATCCAACAAAAGAATGGCGTCGAAAGAGGCGTCAGTTTGTATGCTTGGAGAAATCAGAAGGCAGCGACGGGTTCGGCTGTGGGATGGATGCGGGAGTTTCGCGTGTGTGGAAGAAAAGAAGAGACAGAAAGCCCATTGGCTCTCGTTTTATCAACGAGTATGGAGTCGGATCGAAGTGAGCAGGAAATCCTACGAAGTGACAGTTCGGCGCTATAGGGCATGGGGCATTGTAGATACAACTAGAGCAGCTATTTTAGCAGGATTTGTGTATGGGCTTTGATAGGTATGACAAAGAATGCATTTTTAATTTGATTTTTTTTTTTTCGATGTGCTGTAGAGGTCAACATCGCCACTCCATTTAAAACCACTTCAAGCTGGATTCCTATCAACGTCCTTCAAACAAGGAATAAGGGAAGAAAGCTCTTGCTCTTTTGCAACATAAAATACCTATTATGGTTCGTATGAGGTTGAACATTGCACATGCAATTGGTGCCATTAGTGCTACTTTGCAAAGTTAATGAAAGAGCATGAGGTAGCTATTAAGTAGGCGTTTCACTATCTTCAAGACATATCGATGTTCAGTTTGTACTTTTGAAAAGCTGGATTGGTGCAAGAAGGATACATTAATGTAGATTTAGTGAACTTTTGGAGGGGGAGCTGTATCATGGCAACTCAAGTTGCAGAAATTTGTTGCCTTATCGACCATTGACACAGAGTATATTGCAATTATTAAAGGTTGAAGGTATTTGTAATGGATAAAAAGGTTCTTTGAAAAATATGATTTAAAATATAATTGTTGTACTAAATTGTGACAGTCAAAGTGTTATCTTCCTAGGAAAAAAAAATCAATTTCCACTGGAAGTCCAAGTATATTGAGTTTAGATAGTAGTGGATCTAGGATGTGCTTTAGAAGATCTTGAAGCTGCTGAAAATCCATTTGGATAAAAATGAGCTAGATATCATGACAAAGTCTTAACAAAGTCCAAGCAAGATGTGTCCAAAGAAAGTTTGATCAAAGTTGTCAGTTAGTTCTTCATGTTATCAACATCTTAGTGAAGAACAATTTGCCTGTAATCCTCCATTTGCTAAGAAATTCAACAGGGAAATCATAGTTTTAATCCCATTACAATGTACATTGGTGCACTTTGGTTTGGATTGGCCATTGACTTTTTCCCAATTGGGTTTTCCACTGAAAAATATCATGATCTCTTATATTGTTTTGTTTTTCTTTTCTCTTATCGTTTATCCATAGATTTAAATAAGGTATTCCGCATTTGCATCTTCTATCCTAATAGCATTGAAGGTTATAAGCTTAATATATCAAATCTTATGAATAAAACTTAACTTGAGCAATTCATCCTAGTGATGTCTCTCCATTATCATAATTCATAACTCAAAAGCACAAGCACAAGCCACTTGAAAGCAATTGGTTAAGTTACTGTGTAGATAACCCTTTAATATATACAAATAATTTAATAGTATTAAGTTAGTCTTAATAATGTCTAACAATGTTTGAATACTCTTTCCAACTAAAGCGCATGCAGAACAAATTAGACAAATATTCAGTTCACAGAAGATGTATTTAGGGAAATAGTATAAGAAATGATAAGCTAGTACTATTTTTATGAGCTAAGTATTTTTTTTATGAGGAATTTTATAAACCTTGTCAAACATGTTATACGATGAAATACAGTGTAAAAAAATCATTAAAAGCATGGACAATTACCGATCAAAATCAACAAATCATGAATGCTGAAGCAACAGGAGAAAAGCATACCAAGGAATGAAACGAAATAAGGGAATTGCTACAGATTTCTTTTAAGTAGTGAGAGAGTATCAGGCTCCAATAATACCTTCCCATCTTCAGTAACAATTGTGTCAAAAAAATACTTGGGATTCTCAGGATCCTTCCAGCACAAGACATCCTCAGACTGATCAGTTCCCAAAAAATGGTAGCATAGCTGATGGTTAAGATTCATGTCAGTCTCTGTCCCTGGATCTACATCACCCCCTTCCCTGTTGGACAACATCAACAAATTAAATACGGGTTCTGTCAGTTTCAAAACCTAAATTAGAAATGAAAACACGAATCACGAATTCTACTAACTTTGGTGCCGGATATCTTCCATAGAAGAATCCATTCCCATCATGAGACCAACTAATGCTTGAAAACTTAACCTGCAAATAATAGAATCAAGTAGCATTTTCAACCCAATCAAAGCAAGGATTCAAACATAAAAATAAATAGTAAATAAAACGAAACGTCAATTCTCCTCTTACCCATGATATTGTATCAGGCTCAGGCATCTTGTCAGCGATCCGCATTACTTTAATGGTAACCCAATCGCTCCCACTCAAGCTAAGCCCGTATGCCAAATACTTTCCATCCCTGCTAATCGAAACAGTGCTAAGAGCCACCGTCCCATCCTGGCTGAGTGCACTCGGATCGAGTAAAACCTCTGCTTCCGAATCCAAATCGCTCTGCAACCAAAATCCAAATCTCAAGAACCTCGCACATAAGCTGGGCTGAAGACGGAATCAAATCATTTCTACAATACCTGGACATACAGAACGCTCTGCGCCTGAAGGCCGGAGTTGTGGAAATAGAAATACTTCCCACCCCGTTTGAAGGGAGTTTCGTACCGTGGGTGGTCGAACAACTTGGTCATTTGCTCGCGCAGTCGCTCCCTTTCCCCGCACTCCGCCAGAACCGAATCCGTAAGCGCCGCCTCCACCTCCACGAACGCCTTCGTTTCCTCCGAATCTGGATTCTCCAGCCTTTGCTTACCAGCAACAAAAAAGCATGACCAAAACCGTCTCATTTATGAAGGAAGAAGGAAGAGATCATTTGAATAACACGCACCAGCGATAGGGGTCGGAAACGAGGACCCCGTGATAGTCGTCAACGATGGAATAGTCGCGGCGTGCCAGTGGGTAGTGCAGCGGTGAGAGAGGGTTGGAGAGGGAACCCATGTCGGCGGCCGACGAAACGATTAAGGAGGAGAAGGGAGTCGGGCGTTGTGAGGAGGAAGAAATGGGTAAACCGGGTCTTAGCACGTGTGCAAAGCGTGAGAGGGGGTGGCGGGATCAAGGCTTTTAAAACCGGACCGGTCCGGTTGAACCGGCCGGTCCGGTCCGGTTTTAAAAGCCTTGGGCGGGATTTAAGGAAGGGGAAACAGAGGAGGATGTCGCGCGCGTGACGGGCAGATGAGATCATGGCGCGCGCGGGGCACGGCTAAGCGGCCAGGCGGGCCGACGGAGTTAGGGGTGTCAATTTTTGACACGACACGAAACCCGACCCAAATCAGATCCGGAAAAATCCGGGTTCGGGTCAACCCAAACCCGAAACGGGTCGGGTTCGGGTTCATGAAATCAACCCGTTTTAAAAATCGGGTCGGGTTCGGGTTGACCCGCCAACCTGAAATTGACCCGAAAGTGACACGAAAACTCATTTTTGACCCGAAAACCCGAGATTGACCCGTTTTTGACCCTTATATCTCAATATTTTGATATAAATTATAATGATATATTGATATGTTGAATTTAAAAAAAAAAATATTTTATTTATAAATTTATATATATAATATTATTTTCAAAATAAATCTAATAATTTCTAATAAATTTTAAAAAATAAATAATTGCAACTTCTTTAAATAAAATTAATAGGGCTACAAATTAATTGGGCCGGGCCAAGCTAAGCTTTGACTTGGTTGAGCTAGAGTTAATTTCCTAAGATCATGTTCGAGTTCGGCTCAAAAAAATTCGAGCTTTTTTTTATACCTGTTTAAGCTCAAGCTCCTATAAAAATCTCTTGTTTGAGCTCAACTCATGTTCATGTTCATCCTCAAGCCTTTTAACGAGCCTATATTCAAGCTTAATTCAAGCCTACGAACGAGCCACGCCCATCTTTCATATGTAGTCCCAATATTTTTCATTTTATAGAGCAAAATTAAGTTGTCAACTTGCATTGCATGGTGTGGGACTAAATAAAAGCAGAGGGCACTGAGCTAGAGAGGGATTGAGTTCGTGAGTGTCCAATCGAGCGAATTCGGGAGCTGGAGAGCAAATAGGGGTGTCAAAATCGGTTTATGGGTCAAGTTTTGGTCGAACCAGCCGTTAACGCGCTACTGTTTGACACTACCCGAATCAGATATGTTTTTACAAACATATCAGAAAAATGCAACTCGGACCCGACCCGACACGAAATGTTGCAACTTATGGAATTTTGCCAAAAAAACGACGTGCTAGCTACGGCAAAGAGGCGGTGCCGTTGGCTTCAGGAGCGGCGGTGGGAGTCTAGAGAAGGGAGAGGGAGAGGAGACGGCGTCAGATTCAGCCCGAGTTCAAATGGAGGCTAGAGGCAGAGGGGTCTTGTGAGGATTAGTTGTTGGCCACTAATGAGGAAGAGAGGGATCGGGCCATCGAAGACCTCAGGGTGCTTCTAAGGTGTGATAAGCTACGTATGGAACTTGTTTGGGCACGAGCGACGTAAGAGAGGAGCAGGAGCTAAGGCTGGCTTTTATGAGGTGTGTGAACTGCGAACGCATTGAAGCAGAGAGGCAAGTGGGTTAGCGCCTTAGCAAGAGATGGGTTAAAGTCAGTCAGGGTCAACTTCGAGTTAGCAGGTTGACCCCGAAGTTGACCTGGACCCGACCCTTTTTTCAAATGGGTCAAAATTTTGGAACACGAACCCGACCCGTTTGTGAAATGGGTTGATCATAACCCATAATTTTTTAGTCAGATGTTTGAGTCATGTCAAATATTGACACCCCTAGAGCAGGAGTTGAAACGAAGAGCGTAGAGCGGGATCGGACAATCAGGTTCATGAGCTGAAGAGCTGGAGCGAAGTGTACAGAGCAGGATCGGGTTCGTGAACTTCTAATCTAGTAGGCTTCTCAAACTTATTTTCAAAACTCTGATTGAGCTCTAATGGAGCTTCTTATTCAAATTCTAATTGAGTTTCTTAACCAGCTTATTCGTGAGCTTTAAATGATATTGTTGATGAACATAAACGAATCGAACACCAATTATTGTCAAGCTCATTTATTTATCTATCGAGCATTTATCAAAAGTAGTCAAACTAATTCATTTACTTTATCAAACGAACACCAAGAAGCTCTTATCGAGCAGAGCCACAAACAGCTCGTCGAACGTTCGGTTCATTTACAGCCCTAAACATAAATGGTTTTTTTCTTATTTTAATTGAATTACATCTTTTTCTTTTCCTTTTCTTTTTGAGAGAGATAGAGAACTTTTTGTAATAGATTTTTCTATCTATTAAAATTATTATTAGATAAATACATAATAATATTTTTTTTTTATTAATTTTATATATCGAAAAAGAGGCTCTAATGCTGGAGCTAAATGGAAGTATTGAGCAAAATCATTAATGTCATGCGGGAAATCAAAGAAGCTTCAAGTTATTATGGATGAAATATATGAATTCAGATTTTATTTGGAATAACTTTTTATTATTTTTTTATATAAAAATTTCAAATAAGTTAAAAAAAAATATTAAAAATTTGTTTTAGAAAATAATAAGAAATTATAGATATGTTTAAGAGAATATATGAGGTCGTCAGTTACATGAAAAGGAAAGAGCGAGCTGCGGATGTAGTAATGATGTTGCCATTCTGTTGTAGCCATTAGTGGTCGCTGGTCCAGCCTATATGAGTTGGCTTGCTGGTTGCAGTGGAATCCACAAGAATTTGTGATTTGAGATTGAAAGCATTTTGCTTATTTTACAATGCAAAATATATTTTTTTTCTTTGAAAAGGTGGGATTTTTCAATGTTCTGTTTCAAATAGTAATTAAGATCTTGTTTGGCTAATTTTTTCTCTTCTTTAAAATTTCTGTGATGGGAAGAAGGGGTGTTGATAAATGTCCCATTCTGATCTGTTTGATAAAAGGATTGTATCCGGATTTAGAATTTTGATCCGTTATTAAACAAGTCTGGTTCGGATTGATTCACAAACTAGCATTTGATTAAAAAAAAAGACCGATTTAATTTTTTTTTTCTTTAAATTTATTTGTTTGTTGGTACGATCTTCTTATTTTTTATCAAATAATATAAACTTTATCGTTGATAAATTATAAGAAAAAAAACCAAAATGGGTTGCTACTGACTCAATTTGGATTCATCTTTTTGACTTGGGTTAGCTTTAGATTGACTATATTCGAGTTGACTTAATTTCAAGTTAGACATGAATCCGACCCGTCATTCTCTTTTGGCACCCCCTAATGACAAGTTTATGCTAGGGTGATTGCTAATAAAATAACTCTCAAATATATACTTAAATGCATAAGTTTCAAATTGATAATCTTATAATGAGAGCAGTAGCCCCCAATCACTATTTGCAATGTTGAGTTGCGATTCTATTGAGGTTTTAACATTGCCTCTTTTTTTTTTTGTGGCGGTAGCCTTCATAAATATTTCTTTTAATAATTAATTAAATTACAGCACTCAAACATCCTTTAAAAAAATTATAATCTAAACAAACAAAATTCAAAATTTATTTTATCTCAATATGAGAAACTCTATGTAATGCTATAATATAATTTAAGCATAATTTTTTTAGCTTGTAGCTATATAATAGTATACAATATCATCAAATCAAATAAACCCTTAAATATAACTTATCTGTCAAATTTTTTCTTAAGGATTGAAAAGAATTAGAGTCTATTTGAGATAATTTTTTAGCTACTTGACTTTTCGATAACAACTATAATTTCATTTGATTATTACTTTTCTGTTACTATCTCATTGTTTTTTAAAAATTTATACTATAAACTACTACTACTTATAATGAAAGTAGTTAAATTAATTTTTTCATAACAACTTCACAATCAGCTTCATAAAAAGCTACAACAATATCAAATATATCCTAAATTAATAATTCACGCACATCACCCATACAAATTTTAAATTAAAGACCTCTTAATTAAAAGGTTAAACTTTCAACCAACAGATTAGAACAGTTGCATTCCCTACAGAAATAGTCCTCCACTTTGCTCTATCAAAATTATAACTTTAAAGAATAATAGCACGCTTGAGTGCGGATTCTATTCAATGAAAAGGTCTTCCAACAACAAAATCAAACAAAAAGAAGCGTCTTTAATTTTGCTTTCGATAATAAACACTCAACTGACTTTCTGAAAGACAAGCATTTCCTTCAAAACAATTTCCCCATTTGTCACTTTATTTGATTTTTCTACAGCAATAATAAACAAAATGTATGACAAACATATAAAATAACAATTTTTTTTGTTTATAAAAGGCTAATAAAGCTGTACCAAATGAAGTCTAAATTCGGCAAGGCCGAGTTGAAAGATAAGATTTTCGGAATTTTTTGTGGGTTGATTCTAATGAAACAAAACTAATCGTTCCAAGAAACTCCCATCATTTTCGCAGCGAAGCCAAAACAATCAACAGCCTCATCAATCTACAATAAAACCAGATAAGATCATTCATAATAAAAAGGGCCACAAGTAAAATCGAGAGGCATAACAATATAAAGCAGGTCAAATATACAAACCAATTTCTGGGTAGATCGACCAATTCCATGACCATCCTTGCGATCAATGCGAGCAATGATAGGATTCTTCTGTGGAGTATTCTCCAGACTCGTGCAGAGTATGTATTGCATGGTCTTCAGACATTAGAGGAGATAAATATTTCATTATTTTTGGCTAAGAAACAAATTAAAATATGGCAGAAAAGGAAACGAGATTCAAAAGAATGAATACTTACTGCCAAAAATTTAAATGCGTGTAGTGACACTACACGATCATCATGATCAGCTGTCAACAGCATGGTTGAAGGATATTGACTAGATGAATCAGAAGATTTCTCCCATGGTCTAATCACGTTATGAAGTGGTGAGTATCTGCAACATAATATGCATTAGAAAATTAGACATAATGAGGAGGTTCAAAAACTTCCAACTTGCAAAAAGCTTTGAGCAAAGTGAAAACTCATATTTAAGAAACTTTCTCAGTAATGGTTAAGAATGGGCTAATCATCAAAATGTAATTTGAATCACGCAAGTTTTTAGCCAATCTATAAGCTAATCACCAAAATGTAAGTCGAATCATGTAAGTTTTTAGCCAATATAATTATTCAAGGCATTTAGGGTTATGTATTTCTACAGAGATTGGCACAAGTGAGGCCACAGAATATAATGCGTAAGCAACAAAATACTTATAAACTAGTTTCATTTGGGTTGCATGCTTACCAAATTGCATTGGCAGAACACATCATCTTTTGTATGATATTTTTTCCAATAAAAACTGGTTAATTTTCTTGAATGATTATTTCCACAAAGTTCTATTATATTCAAATACCTCAATATGGTACTGGGGCAGTTGGCAGTCAATGCTATTTGAGTGATCTACGCGCATAAATATAACTAAAAATTTTCTCACTATGAAAAACATACATCACCTAAAGCTCATAGACCTTGCTCACGTCCAAAAATTCTTTGAGAAGCATCAATTCTATAGGCTCGAATTCTCATTAGATTGTCTTAAATTTACATCGACTATGCTCGAGCTTAATTAGGTTCTACTCAGGCTAACAAATTCTCAAGCTTTTGCAAATTCATTCAAAATTGTTTGAAATAATTCAAGAATAGTTCAATCACAAGAACAAAGCACAATTCCATTCGATTTCAATATATTTGCTCAAACCTAAAATCAAGACGAGTTCAATATATTTGCTCAAGCCTAAAATCAATTTGAAACCTAAAATCAATTCGTTCAAATGATTGACCTAGTTTATCAAGTCTAACAAAAATCCATCGAGGCTAAACATAATTATAAATTGCTTAAGCATCATATAAATTTATAAAGGCCTACTCTATTAATTCATCAATTCATCTGATTCGGTGCTATGAAGTGTCAGAGTCCATTCAACTTGGCTATGCTGAAGCCTTAAATTGAGGATCCAACCTCACTCAAAAGAATCTAAACCAAGCTTAAGTGCACCTGGATGAATAAATGACTTTGTCCAATCAAGTAAACAGGTGACATTAATAGCTAGAAGTTACACATGAAAGAAATTAACCTGAGCTTAGCCACCTTATTTTTACAGCAAGAGCATATGATTATTTATGTTTCAAGTAAATGAATAAAATTTTTTATTTATGAATTTATTTCAAACATCATAAATGGCGTTAGCTATATTCCTTTGCATATTTTGAATAGCCCTGATTTAAATTTCTGAATTAAAATCATTGACTCTTTATGATAGAGTCATCCTATCTTGCATATATAGGACGTTGATTGATTTCTAGGATGTTAACTGGCTGTCCACTCAAGGAAGACATAAGTCCTGATTATACATCCCCCAGTGTGTCTTCTCTAATTCTTAATAAATTTTGAATATATAATTTCTTCTAAAATAACGAATTAATTTTTAAACTTCTAAACTCAAATTTTTAATAAAATCTTCATACATTTAAAATATCTAATCCTCACTAAAGATAAAGAGAAGAGTTTATCCCATTTGGATTAGAATAATCTAGGAATCCCACTACGCACCAACCCAAGAAGAGAATAAAATAGCATTCCTAATCGAGAGTATTCTTAAGTTAAGACCTAAGATATAATTAACCATAGGGGATTGCGCCCATGAGAAACCAACACCCACATCAAATAAACCTCATTTTAGTTGATGTACCGAATGGATAAAATCTCATGCTATTGAATTATCTATATTATTATCTATCAAGATGTACGATGAAAGATGTTATTTTCAATGAATAATCATATATGTAATTCTATAATCTATATGCTCTTACATTGGACTACTTGTGTAGAGTGTAAAGGTCTATGACAATTTTGTTCTTTGGGATAGTGAGATCGTACCATTTGCATTCTAACCCCCGCTTGTAGTTTTCCTTTCGGAGACCCACACACCCTTTTTCGTTCATAACCAACTTTGGGCCTCACTTTAAAGGGATATAAACCTTAACATACGACCATCCCAATCTACTCAAGATATTTGATAGGAAGCAACATATAGCAGCTAATCAAACTTCCTACACAATATGGCCTACCGACCATCCGTTGTCGGTAGACCATGTCCATTAAGTTGATTCATAATGATGGAATCATAAGATATTGATTGGATTAACCTTCCATCCCTTATTAAGCCCCAATACAAACTTATCTTCCAACCAATCCAAAGCACAATAATATCCTTAATCGGGTGTTCTCAAGGGCATAAGATATAAGTAATTATGGTGGGTTAAGCCTATGAAAAACTTTGACTTGTAAGACTTAAAATAAACCTCGATAAGCTTAATCAGTTATCCAAGAAAAACTCTAAGATTTTGTTTTAGTTTGTCTTTGAAACTAAATGTTATGTTGCAATCCTTTCCTAAAACTCCATAAGGGGGATGAAGAAAATGGATCACATCATGAACTTATGAGCATTTTTCATAGCCCACACTCCTTTAAAGAGAATCATGACTGAAAGCATAATAATCAATGTTCAATTATGACACAACTATGTGGGCTTGACATAACACTTAATTTGAAAAGAGAAAAAATGAAAGAAGCTTTACGTGTAGTCCATAATTTTGTGGTAGGGTCATGCATACAATAGAAGAAGGGAGTCAGCGATGGATGATAGAGATGGGTTTTCCCAAGCCAAAAATCAAAAAAGAAGAAAGTTTGTTAGCTTGCCAACTTTCTAACAACTCAGAGAGTCATTCTCATAAGTTAATACAACAACAATAACAAGTTTTTATCCCACTAGATGAGGTCATGTACATAAATAAATTTTCTCCATTATGTCCTAATAAAGGTCCATTTGAGACGACTACAACTTTTTATAAATTCGATTACAAAGCTACTGTAGAGAAAATAACTTTTTTGAAAGCTGATGTAGAAAGCAACTTCATAGCAAAGAAATTTATTGAAAACAATGAAAAAGCAGTGGCTAAATAAAAGTTATGATTGCGATCTAAAAAGTAAAGCAGTAAGAAAGTTATCTCAAATAAAGTCTAACAGTCATTTTCCAGACAATCCAGAGAATCATTCTCATCAATTAGTAAAGCATGCAAATTTTCCAATTAGAAATCAACTGCTTTAACACCCATCAAAGTTGCAAAGTGCAAGCTATGTCCTTGGTTAAGAGGAGAAACTGGTGGCTCTAAAATGGTCTGCTAATCAAATATTTATTTACGTACATACAAATTTGATGCACAGTATGAATGTGCAAGCACGGATACCAAATGAAAATAAGTGTATAGAATTGACAGAGAAAATGGATCATTATACTAATTATGTCATGTGTTGTTTATGTATCCATAGAAACTACTAACAAATTTCATAATAGTCACAAAAAGGGATGCTTGATAACCAAAGAACGCCATTAAATACACGTGTTAGTACCAGAAAACTTCTCACACTCATTTAAAAGAAAAAAATTCTTACTTAAAAAGCCATTGGAATTCATCCTTCTTATCTGAACAACCATAATCAGATGTCCCTGCATGACCTGAATAATGGCAAGGCATTAACCACTAAGATTAGAAAACATGACGAATAAAAAAGGTATATAATAGTAATAAAAAAGATAGACTAACCTATTGTGAACTTGTGGAACCGCAGCATGTCCATGAAACCAGCATGAACAATGGCACAACCAAAAAGATCAGGCCGCTGCATAGCAAAATGTTCAAGTAAATTAAAATAGAATAGCATAATTAGTAGATGATAGAAGAGAAAACTCATTATTGACTAGAATCGTATGAATAAAAAAAGAAATAACAGCACTAGATGTTGAACCTGATTTATGCATGCAGCAATTAAAAGTGCACCATTGCTACCACCTTCAATGCATAGCCTTTCGGAATGGGTATAGCCTTTTGAGATAAGAAATTCTGATGCAGCAATGAAGTCATCAAAGCAATTTTGTTTCTTTGAAAGAGATCCTGATTTATGCCATTCTTCTCCATACTCGCCCCCACCACGAATATTTGCAATACAGAAGATAAAACCTAAATTTCTAGCCAAAACAATCCGGCATTCAATAAAAATGGGTGTCAGGTTCAGGTTGAAACCACCATAACCATGTAGTAATGTTGGATGTGATCCATCTAGAATGATATCTTTTCTTGAAACAATGAACATTGGAATCTTGGTCCCATCTTTACTAGAAAAAAAAACCTGATAAACAGATAACGAAGGAGGTAAATTATCCTCACTTCTTAGCAAGTAGACTTAACTTCTGAATATTGGTGAGGATCTTTATTCAAACAAATAGAAAAGGATGGCAAAATAGAGAGTTTATAATGGAAAAAAAATGAAAATACAAAGTTTACCTGTTTAGCATGAAAATCATCTCTATTAAATCCAGGAACAGAAGCCTCCCGGAATACTTTCATTTCAGGAGCTTCAGAAGACAAGTTGCACTGATAAATAATTCCTGGTGTAAGAAAGCTACTAAAACCAATGAAAATCTCAGCATCTTGGCGCTTTCCTGAGATCCCAGTAACTGTTCCAATATCTATTGGTAAATTATGTAGCAATTGACCAGTGTTTAGGTCTCGTATTTGCAATATGTACTTCACATCGCTAATATAACATACTAAAAGTTGGTTCCCATTAACAGCATAGGCTGACTTTAGCACAATGCTTTGGTCTTCTGGCAAAACATCACTCCATATTTCAGGTTTATTGAGATCAACACGGACTAATTTATACCTTGGAGATTCTTTATTTGTCAAAAATATGAATTCAGTATCATTATTTGCAACAACATTGTAGCGTGCTTCAAAATTGTCAACCAACTTAACAAATGGAAGCATATCTTTCCTTGCTTTCAAAACATCAAGACCACCAGAAAGTGCAGATAAATTGCAGTAGTATAACTTATTTACAGTATCGTAGTCTTTACTGATAGCTAAAGTAATATACTGCAATGCAAATCAGTACCATTAGCTCAAGAAAACAGAAAAGAATTTCATAATCATCGAACCAGATTGTATATCACCAATAAAACTGAAATTGGTTATTTATGTGCAATGAACATGAATCTAAAACGCAACATATCATAATAGGGAACATAATAGCCCAAGGTATGTTTTCATGGCAGCTATAAAACATAGAAAGATAATAGCAGATCTCCAAAACCATTTTTTTCTGCCTGAAAATTTGTTGAACAAGTGAGATATGGATAAAAAATATCAGAAATAAAAGATAGTTCATATTCAATTAAACGATGCCGAGGCTGAAAGGATGCACAATCAAAGACTTTACATTCTAATATTTTTAGAATATTAATTGCTAGCTTCTAAGTTAAATTGCAAAAACACATTAGGAATCACATAAGAAAAAAATTAATTGTTGTATTTATTGGGTTAATCTCTCTTTATGAGGAGGATGGTTCGTGCAATTGAATTTATTACATGACATGAATTTCTAAATATCTTTCGGAGTTTATGAGTGAATATGTTGTTGCATAGCTGACAATAGCGTGTTCATATATGAACTTTCATGAGCAAGACTGGAAGGTTTTTTGCTTCTTACACTTACCTTGCAATCCATGGAAGAAAAAAGCCACTTCATGACATCGTGGAAAACCTAGAGGGTAATTTCTACCTATATGCAACCCTTCGGTGCTCTAAGGGGGATGCTCAGAAGTGTGTGGTGTGAGGATTGAGAGCTTCCTTCATCCACTGGGCAATCTTGTGCCGGGAAGTGAGAAGGTTGGTCACAATACATAAATAATGAACAATACAGCAATGCCAGGAAGTGAGAAGAAAGTACTACATTTATAAGCTAAGTAGTTTTTTATAAGGGATTTAATTAACCTTGTCAAACATGTTACACAATGAAATAAAGTGCAAAAATATCAATAAAAGCTTGCACAATTACAGATCAAAATCAACAAATCATGAAAGCTGATGCAACTGGAGAAAAACATACCAAGGAATGAAACAAAATAAGGGAATTGCTAAAGATTTCTTATTAGTAAAGAAAGAAAACCAGGTTCCAATAATACCTTCCCATCTTCGGTGACAAATGCGTCAAACATATACGTGGGATTCTCAGGATCCTTCCAGCACAAGACATCCTCAGACTGATCAGTCCCCAAAAAATGGTAGCATAGATGATGGTTAAGATTGATGTCAGTCTCTGTCCCTGGATCTACATTGCCCCCTCCTCTGTTGGACAACATCAATAAATCAAATACAATTTCTGTGAGTATCAAAACCTAAATTAGAAATAAAAGCATGGATCACGAATTCTACTGACTTTGGTGCCGGATATCTTCCGTAGAAGAATCCCTTCCCATCAGGAGTCCAATTAATGCTTGAGAACTTAACCTGCAAATATCAGAATCGAGTAGCATTTTCAACCCAGTCAAAGCAACAATGGCAGAGCCAATTCAAATTTGAGACTCTCATTAACAACTTCGAAAAATATTTTATTTAAATTTATTATTTAATATATATATAAATAATCATTTTATTATCAATACAATTAAATATTTTTTAATATAAATAATTAAAATACTATTTATTTATAATCTCTACTTTATTTTATAGTCAATTGACTCAATTTTTTATAATTATCATAATAAAAAAAAACTCTTTCAAATCATATAGATTCACTGATCTTAGGATAAATTCTAAAATTTTTAATTTATCATAAAAAAATTAATTTTAATATCTAAACATATAGTATTTTTCAAAGTTTTGAAAAACAGGACCAGACCGGCCGGTTCAACCGTGAACCAGTCTGGTGACCAGTCCGATCAAGCTTCAAAACCGGCTCTGCATCGAACCAGATCAAACCAGATTGAACCGGCAGATCAACCGGTGAACCGTTGAACCGGTCCAGTTTGGAAAGAATCGGCCAATTTATAAAAAAAAATTATTTTGATGGCCGGTTCAATCCAGCTTACAAAATCGGCTCTGCATCAGACCGGATCAAACTGGATTGAACCAGCGACCGGTGAGCCGATGTGGGTTGGAAAGAGCCGGCTGGTTAAAAAAATTATTTTTGTTTTAATTAATGATGATAAATTTTTTATATTATAGATTCACATATTGTATTAAATATTATTCTTAAATAATATTTATATGTATAAAATTTTATTATATATTTTAAAATTTTATAAATATTAATAAATACTCATATACTTATATTATATGACTTTTTATTTTATTAATTTTTAATAATGTTATTATTTATTACGTCATCCGATTCGGCCCCAGTTCAACCGGTCGAACAGTGAATCTCTCCCTCTTCCGATTCGTTGTCCGGTCCCATTTTCACAACCTTGATATTTTTATATAAAAAAATAAAATTAAAAAATATGAATATATATATATAATTTTATGGAGTAGGGGACCTTGCCCGTACTCCTTAGCTTTGCACATAAAAGAAAGAATTCAAACATAATAATAAATACTAACTTCAAAGAATGAGAAATTATTAGGTGCAAAATCCGGACGTAGAGATACATTCGGATATCCACTTTAAATTTGACATGTGGAGTGCATTTTGGTTATACTTTTTTTATGCACTTTACTTGTGTTTTCCTGCACTTCACTTGTGTTTTAGTTACACTTTAGCTGTGCTTTACTGTTCTTTTGTTGCACTTTTTTACTGCGCTTTGTCTGTGCTTGGTTTAAAGTTTCGAAGACACATTAAATAAAAAATAAATCTAATTGAATATCTACGTGTCCACTCCACGTGCGAACATTTTATTGGAGTCGGGCCGTATTGCTATGTCTAAGTCCGGACTCCACACCTAATAATTTCTCCTACAAAGACACGCCAATTATCAACTTACCCATGATATCGTATCAGGCTCAGGCATCTTGTCAGCCATCCGCATTACTTTGATGGTAACCCAATCGCTCCCACTCCAGCTAAGCCCATATGCCAAGTACTTTCCATCCCCGCTAATCGAAACAGTGGTAACAGCCACCGTCCCATCCTCGCTCAGACCATTCGGATCGAGTAAAACCTCGGCCTCTGAATCCAAATCGCTCTGCAACGAAAATATAAATCTCAAAAACCCTCGGAGATAAGATGAGCTGAAGACGGAATCAAATCATTTCTACAATACCTGGACATACAGAACGCTCTGCGCCTGAAGGCCGGAGTTGTGGAAATAGAAGTACTTCCCACCCAGCTTGAAGGGAATTTCGTAGCGTGGGTAGTCGAACAACTTGGTAATTTGCTCGCGCAGCCGCTCCCTCTCCCCGCACTCCGCCAGAATCGAGTCCGTAAGCGCCACCTGCGCCTCCACGAATGCCTTCGTCTCGTCCGAATAGGGGTTCTCCAGCCTTTTCTTACCAGCAACAAAGACAACATGACCAAAACCATCTTATTTGTTAAGGAAGAAGGAAGAGATCATTTGAATGACACGCACCAGCGATAGGGGTCGGAAACGAGGACACCGTGGTAGTCGTCAACAACGGAGTTGTCGCGGCGTGCCGGTGGGTAGTACAGGTCAGCAAGGGAACCCATATCGGCGGCAGACGGAATCGTGCGTTGTAAGGAGGACGAAATGGAAAACCGGGTTTTATCATGTATGGAAGGCCTGAGATGGGGTGGCGGAATTTAAGGAGGAATCCGGGCGAGCCGGGCAAGCCGGGCGGGCCGGGCGGCGGAGAGAGGAGAAAAGATTTTGCTCGCTGCAGGTTAAATTTTCAATTTATTTTGAGTTAAATATAATATAATTTTTAATATACTATATATATACCCGATGCATATATTTAATGAATAGAAAAATAAGAAATTATTTATATACATAGGGCCGTTTTGTAAAAAGCTCTCTAACAGGAACAATTATTACGTCCTCCGATAGGACGTAGAGGAACGTCCGGTCGGAGGCAAAATCACGCCAAAAAACGAGAAATACCGAGCAATACCAAACAATAACGAGGAATACCATCATGTGAAGACCCAATGCCGAGTTATACCGAGCAATACCGAGTTATACAAAAAAATATCGAGTTTTTCCTACAAAAAACTCGGTACAACTCGGTATTGCTCGGTATAGCTCGGTATAACTCGGTATTGGTCTTCACATAGCGGTATTCCTCGTTATTATCAAATAATACCTAGCAATACCGAGTAAATATCTCATTTTTTGGCGGGATTTTGCCTCCGACCGGATGTTCCTCTACGTACGTTCACCTAACCTAATAATTGTTCCTCTTACCGGTACAAATACGAGGATTACACAATAAAAGTAAGTATAATCAACCTCATATTTGCTCAATAAATAGAAAAAAAAAAAATCATCACAAGCCAATGAATAGTATCTTTCATTTGAGATAATGAACAATATTTAATTTTATGCTTTTTTTTGCACGTTAGTGAATAAGCAACAATATTTTTATAATTTATATATAGGTATTATAATTTATCCTAATTTACAAATTTGGATAGTTAAACCTTAAAAATATAACGTACACAGCCTCCAATATTATTACAAGTGTTTGTTATGTAGTAATTACATTACTAATGATGCATCACCAATTTATAGGAAAATTATTTGGGTTCATTTATATATATTAATTTAATTATGATTAATTTAAATATTAATAAATTAAATTTGAGACTAATTAATTTTTTAAGAATAAATCAAATTTATGTTACACTAATCTAAAAATAAATATTTTATCGTGATAAAAAATTTGATAAGAACATCCTGAGCCATTTTTTTCCATTTTATACATCAACGTATCTTTATTAGTAAAATAGGTGACGTGTAATATAAATTGTTAAGAACAAATAAAATAAAATAAATAAAAAATTTTACAACGATGGCTGTCTTTCTAACATTATAGATTTTACTTTTATAATAATTGTGGAGCATTACAATTTTAATTTCTCAGATATATCATATAATGATAGAGCTCCTTTTATGATTGTAGCAAAAAAATTCAATGAAATTTCAAAAACATAATAAATCCATAAGTTTCAAATTCATAATCTTATAATGAGTGCAGTAGCCCCCAATCCCTGTTTGCAATAAAATAAAAAAATTCAACGTAATGCATTTTTTGTGGCAATAGACTTGACAAATATTTTTTTAATGATTAATTAAGTTACAGCACTCAAATTTTTTTTAATAATAGCCCCCAACTATATAAAAATATCAATTTTATCACTTTAAATAGAGACTAAGGCTTCATTTGGTACTAAAAAGCTGCTAAATAATGAAATCAAATGAAAGTTGATATGAATTTCCACTGAAATGAACTTTATATTTAAACAGCAACATGAAATCTGGTTCTATTCCTTTATTTATATTAATACAATACCAAAAATTCTCAACTTTGACTACAATGAAATGGAGTTAAAATGAACTCTACCTGCACCAAACAGCATATCTGGTGCCAGAAGTAGCAAGTTTCCATTCCCCGTCTGTTGGGCACCAGGACCTATCGCCAATCTTAATGCACACTCTCTCTCCAATGATTGCAGCATACAGATTGGAGTGGGATTCCAGTATTCTAATAGTGGAGCGGCTGTGGATATCCTGATGTCTCCGCACATCCATCTGAACACAAAAATTTCATAGTTTTGAAGGAAATGAATGCAATAGAAATCATGAAAGAGAAGCTATGGGAAGTACCAGTTTCACAATTTGATCATGAATGGATTTTCCCCAGTCATAGAAATGATCATAAAATACCGTAGGTATTCCTGGATGAGTGAGTATGTAAGCGTATCCCTGCAAAAGTACAAGTTAGAATTATAAATTGCATTAAAAATTGCAGCAATGATAAGTGATGGGAAAATAACAGTGAGAGTAAAAGTGAGAATGAGAAGAAAACTTTTAAAAAACACAATAAAAGATATAAAGATTTATTAGTTCGATAAGATTGGCATGCTCGTCGATGGCAGCACAAAAATAATTCCGTCAAAGAAGATATCAGAATTTTCTTTCCTTTTTTTAGGGTTTAGGGAAAGAAAAAACAAAGATGCAAAATGAAGTATAAATCTTGGAGAAGAAAATAACAAAGAAGCTCAAACAACTAGTATACAAAGAGAAAATATCAAAGACCCTGTGCCAGGTCAAGGGGTCAAAGGGGCAGCGCCCCTGCGGGAGATAAATTTTGGTTGTAAGGATATTTTTGGATGTTCTTTACTATTTCTCTTTGTATTTGATTCATTGTTTGATTATGCTTGGGGCAAAACTTTTAGGGGAGGCAATTGCCTAAAAACTAATATTATAAAGACTAAAAAATAGATTGAGTGGGACAAATTACCTAAAGAATCATATAAAAAAAAAATTGAAGGGGGGCAATTGCCCCCTTGAGCTGTGGCAATTGCCCCCTTGAGCTTAAGGTGGATCCACCCATGGACACGTAGAAATAGCCAAGTGATTTCCTCTCTCCTCTTCTCTCTCCCTTGTTTTTCTGTTTTTTGTTCTCAACAATATATATATAAAACAACCCACACACTATTACTTTCTATCTAATGCCCTTCACCAAAAACCGTAAACAGCAGTCGATAATCATAATTTTTCCAGCAATCCACACAAGCACAAAAACTTTGTTAGGTCTCCTATTTGTAGGAGTTGAGGAGATCGAAATTCAAAATAATAAAAAGGTTCAAATTTAAATTTCATCAAATACCTGAATTGCAAAAAATTTAAACCTATGATACTTTAAGTCAATTCAAATAAATTGGTATTTATCCATAAAACTTTCCATACAAACGTGGTGATCACTAATCATCTTGTAAAGAAAAATTATTTGGGGGGTCCACCGATCAATAATTTCCCACTTAGAGATCAAAATATAGATATATTAACTAATAAAAACCAATATTATGGTACCTCCTCTCATTATCCATGGAGATAAATTGAGGGATAGTAAATCCTTAGTCTCTCTACCATAGCTATCTTTATTAGAATGTCAACAGCGTTCTCATATCATTTTACTCTTTTCAATAATAAGATACCCTATTAAAACAAGCCTCGAATAAAATAATATTTTAGCTGAACGAGCATTATCCTGGAATGAAATACTATATTTTTTGAAAGATTTATAACACTATCATAAAAAAGAACTCCATCTAACTATCAGTTTTCTAACTCTTTCAGGAAGTTATCTAGTTAAATCATTTTCTTGTTAACCTTAGCAACTGCATTGTATGTTGCTTATATGATTGATAATGCAACTATCTTTTGTAACTGTGATGACCAACTAATAATAATACCAACAAAGATATAGAGATATCGAGTCTTTCTTCATCAAGTATTTAAATTACAATGAGATTAACATCAATAAAATCCTATGGTTTCATGTCACTATTGCCAAGCATCAATGAGGTGTTACCATACCTTCCAAGTTTCAAGTATAACAGCATCCACTTCACCTCCTCCTAAGTGCCTTTCTAGGAGTTAAAATATACTTGCTTATAGCTCCCCTTGTATAAACTATCTAAAATATATTTCACCTTTAACATATTCAATTTATTTAAAAACTTAATATAATATACTTAAGATAAATGATCAAACAATTTATCATAACTAATTCTCATCTAGAGAATATCGTTGTTTTTCCCAAGTCCATGCCAAACTCCTTTGACAATTGTTCCCTCAGCTTATTGATCATACCAAAATTGGCCCCTTCTTTTTTGTGGAATTCCTTTTACTATAAGCCTTTTAATGTATATATATTGTATTTTTATTGCGCCCTTAATTTTGAAAATTCATTTGTTCTAAAATGCCTACCTTAATTAATGTCTAAGTGTCATTTTAATCTATAGATTTGATATCCTCATTTCCTAATAGCTTCCGCTTGGTAAGTCTTTAACATATATTACTTCTTCAAAACACTTAGGGTTCACCGTCATCAATAAACAATAAATAACCTATAAATATGATTGAAAATTATTTCCAAATCTTCTTAATTTTATCATATGAATGCTTATCATTAGCTGTCTCAACTCACTTGATCTCTTTCTTGCACATATTTTAGATATCTCCATAAATTTAGCTTGTTAACCAATGGAGGTCTACTTTTAAGTATTGCCAGAGTTGTTTTTATACGTGATTGATTCATTTAATATAACATCAATACTAATGATAATATTTGAATCTCGACCATACCAAATTTAGCAGGCGAAGTCAACAAATCCATATCCAATGAAATAACATTTATAAACTTAGGATCTAGTTCATCACTAACAGTCTGCATGCCCGTAAGAGCAAAAAAAAAACCCTTTACGTGAAAAAGATTTACTTTATTGTGAGTACAAATTTCTTAAGATAGCTTATAAAAAGAACTGGAGGGAACTTTGTTGATCAGATGAAGGATTAAGTTATGACATCTACCCAAAATTTCTTATATAATACTACATGTAATCTCATGTTTCAAGTTTTGTTCATGTGCTTAGCAGTCTGATATGAAGTAGATGTAATTTCAGACAAAATCACTGAACAATAATAAGAAATTGGGAAGAAAAACACACCAAGACTCTTTACTCTTTTTATTGAAAGAAATATGAAAGAAAATAGCAAGATACAGTTGAATCTTCAATTGGAGAGGAAGATCCGGCTCTCCCAAATCTCTAGCCGCCGGCTAGAGTCCTCACAACCTAAGAAACATTAATTTCAACAACACAAGCATAATCCCCAAAAATACAATATTGTTAGCCCTAAATAGGCTCCTCAAATTCCCTCCCAAATCAGCCCTTTTTCTCTAAATACCCCCTCAAATTTGAATTCAAATTAGATCTCTTTCCCCGATTAATTCCCTCCCAATTGTATTTAAAACTTTCCTAAACAATTCACCATTGATTCCTCCTTACATAAGAAATATTAACTCACAAATCTCCTAGTGGGGCCCACCGGCTCAGCTGCCGGTCCATCAAAATCCTATTCTAATATGATGTTCCTAGAATTATCCTCTATATATAAATGCCACTAGCTATGCAAAATTCCTTTAACTCCTTATTATACTATTCTCCTTCACATCTCTCTTAGACGCTCATATTTGCACCAAACTCAATTTATGATAAGACCTTCCACCTTTTTAAATGGTCAAAGATATCATATTGATCTATTACAAACTAAATGCAAAATTTTTTGGAGTCATCACTCAAAATAGCATAGTAAAGTGAGCAGTTGCCACTGGGATGGTCCCTAAACATGGTGAGCATAAGCTTCAATTTCTAAGTTTTGGGTTTTGGGTTCATTTCCATCCTTTGAAATATTAACCTTTCTTTTCTTTTCAAAAACAGCCTTCACAAAAAATAACAGCAAAATTTAAATATGAAAGCTCGCCTTAAAATGATATCTCACTTTTATGTCATATCCTTCAATACAATAGATATGACTCAGCATTTCAGTTTATTGATACTCTCATAATTTGTGTTAGAAGTTATCTATTAAGCCTTTTTTATGCCACATGCTATCATAATGACACTCGTCTTTTGAATGCACAAACTAAAAGTCATGTACATCCTTCTTTATCCATATGCCCAATAGAGATCACATTCCTCTTCAAGCTTGCAATATGTCTCACTCTCTAAAGCTTCAATGTTATCCCCTGTACAATTTTGATTTAAACACCACCAATTCCAATAATGTTTAAAGGTTCACCATCAACAAGTTATGCTTTGCCCATATTTTTCTTTAAAATAATTAGACAAGAGCTCTTTATGTGAAGTGAATATGCACACAAGTCCACAATTAAAAATTCATTACGGTTATCACATTGATTAATAATGTGCCTTGAATCTCTTTTATGGCAACAATCATCAACTCTTCTAGTTTGAATCACACGCTTTTCTTCTACAAGCAATCTCTTTTCATATGCCTCGTCTTTACATATTGCAAACATGTATCATTGTGACATTTATATCAACTTTTACTAAGAAATTCATGTTAATTACTTCTTCAACATTTGGATATTGCTTGATACACTCCATTTTTGCAGTTCTTACTCTACCTTCAATATTCAAAGCAAAATAAAAGTCTTCAGTTAATCTCATATTAAAATTTCCTCACTAAGAATTAAATCATGAACATCACTGAGCTTCAAATTTAATTAGCTATTAATCTCCGTCACTATTCAACACCAACAATTAGGTGGTGATGAAAATACCAGATACAAACTTCATCATCAATGTTGATATCAACCAAACTCATTAAATTCATAATTCATTGATATCTTCCACCGTATAACCATCTCCTGGAATCCTGAGATCAAAGAATCATTTTTTTATTAGAAGTTCATTCATTACTATCAATGGCTTCTTGTACATGTTGATATAGTTGTTATCACTCGAGTTGTGATATATTCATGTAGTACATAGAAACTAACATTCTTTGCAAATAATAAGCGCACAACTCCCAATGCATGCCTATTGAAGATACTCCAATCTTATTGGTTCACTAATGCTAGTTGTCTTCATAAGAGCTAGATGAAATTTCTTGAAGTACAGGTAGTCCTCATTCAGCATCTTCCAAAATCTCATATTTTGCAATGAACTCATCGATTTTCACATTTCCATCCCCAACAACTATTTCTGATATACTTGCCGCATTATCAGATTTCTTAATAATAACATGGCTGCCTTTGCAAACTCATCATGAACTAACATGATAAGCATATGAAAATAAATGTCATAACCACTTCTGATCTATGAACATGCTAAAAATATAAAGGGCAAATCCAAAGTTTACTTTTAGTTCAGCTCCATGCAAAGCAAGGGAATATACCAAGCAAGGATACTAAACAATTTTCATATCAAATACAAATCAAATTTAAGATGATTCTTTGTCTTCAAACCTAAATCAATATGTTGATGAGAGCAGAAAATAAGTCATGCTGCAGGGTAGACTAGAAATGTACAGCAAGGAAAAGATGGCAATCACAGCTCAGACATATTGGCAGTAAAGAGGGTTACCATTTAAGAAATATTTCTATTAGCATAGATCCATACCTCCATAATGTGATCCGAAGGAAAAGGCCAGTGACCCTGAAAGAACAAATACATTAAGGAAAGAGTAAATAATTAAACTTGAAGATCAAAATGGAAAATCTTTTTAATCATCTCTCAACTCTAAAAGTGAAAAAAGTACATCAGAAAACATAGAATCACAGTTAATAGCCAAGCAGCTCATCAGCTCATGTGAACCTGAGTGGATCCTGAGTCATGATTCTCAATGAAGGTTACTGCTCTCGAAGGCCACCAGCCCACTACACCAGGTGGCTTGCCCTGGGGATCTCTCAAACGCCATAGCTCTCCTTTCATTGCTTCCTACTTCAGAGAAGTAACTTGGTTTATTGTATTTCAAATAACTTGCTAATGGAGTCAAGTTCAAGAGAAAGCTAGACCCTTTGACTGATACCTGTAGAATGCCCTTGGTTGTGAAATCAAATGCAGCACAAAGCCCTCCAGTTTTATCAATCCAATTTATAATCCTTTGTCTATGGCTATCTGTAATTTCCAACACATAAATTTAAAAAAATAATAATAAAGAATATATAATCCGTAGAAGCCACTTATGACATCAAGAATTCACCAATAGAAATATCTGACAAATGGTATTTTAGCCTGATCAAAAGCAGCAAGTAATAATAACATAAAAAACAAATTTCAATATCTAGGTAGTTGATGTGGGGCCTAGGAACGTTTTAGCAGATCAGGAACCTTTCAGCTCCCCTGTGGGGCCTAGTATCACCTATAGGAGAAGAGGTTTTGGGAGGAGCTCTTCGGGAAAGATGTAAAGGGTATTTATTAGGAGATTTGGGCTGTTTAAGGGGGGAAAATTATAGAGGATTAGGACCATGTTGAATTTTATACTACAACAGTTTTTGTAGGGGTTTTGGGTTCCTAGTGGTTTTTAAGAATTGTGGGAGAGATGATTCACCTCACAAACAGTGAATTAACTTATATTTTGTCTTTCTTTGCTTGAAGTTAGTAATTAAAGTCCCCCTTGGTGTTATTCCTGGAACCATTTTAGAGTAAGTTTATTGTTTTTTACATTGTTGTGTGATGTTTTGGTCGTCAAATCCTATCAAATTAGTATAAGAGCACGATTCGGGACCCATGGCACCGAAGAAAGTGGATGCTTTGGAGGAGAAACTAGAATGAGAAGTTGGTCAATTCAAATTTGAAGTTGAGGAACGGATTTCATCCATGGAAGGATGGTTTTCTAACCTAGAAGACATGATGAAAAAAAAAATGGAGCTTCACACCCAGTTGGCAAAATTGGAGGTGAAGGCACTGGTGGGCGGCCATGGAAGCGAGGGAAACCCCAATATCGACACAATGAGGGATGATCGAGAGGTAGAAATCTTAGGCAACAGGGAAAATATGCCACCTCTTGAACCGATAACCAAAAGGGAAATGGGTGGAGGATATAGCATTAGGAGAAATTGGGAGGAAAAAACAATGAGGGTTGATTTTGAAGAAGAGGATATCTACGAAAGGAGGAGTGGGAAAGAACAATGGAGAGATCACAAAAATCGTTACATGGGAGGAGGTGGAGGTGGAAGAGGAAGTTGGGACGAAGGGGATCCGAGAGTGCAAAAGACGAAGATGCCTGGTTTTGAGGGGGAAGATGCTCATGGGTTAATCTATAAGGTGGAGAGATACTTTGTAGATAATGGGCTGACGAAGGATGAGAGACTCATGGCGACGACTTTATGATTTGAGGGAAAGGCCTTATATTGGAGAGACATGAGAGATCCAATTTGATCATGGAGGGAGTTCAAAGATAGTTTATTAGAATGTTTCCAAAAAAGTCGGGAAGGAGATTTCTATGAACAGTTCTTTGCTCTGGTTCACGAAGAGACTGTGATGGATTATTGAGAGAAGTTTGAGTACCTTTCTAGTCGATTGGAGAGGCAATATGAGACAATATTGAAGAAGAATTTTTTTTTTTTTTTAAGATAACATTTTACAATTTCTTTAATATTTGTGGGGAATTTCATGAAGGGACTGTGGGCTCCAAAAATTCAGCCCCGCCTCCACCCGTTGCTTTTTCTTTTCGGGGGAGATTTTAACGCATTAAGTTTTGAGGTAAATTTTGGGAAGGCAGATGGATTTGTAGATAAGACACTACCCAGAGATTTCGCCCTCATTTTGCGAGGACTTTATGATCTGAGTTCTGGTTTCCTATAGACGCAAGCCCCTATAGTTAATTACCCCTCCCGATCACAAGAGAGAACTTTTGATTAAGGCTAGTCGTCAATCAGATACGTAGAACATATGTGTTATCTGGCATATAGTAGCATCAATGGGCTTAAGAATTTTGAAATGTTTGGATGTTTGAAAATTTGAGTTGAGATATTTAAGGAGTTTGATACTTAAAATTGAAATTTCACCATCTTGCAATTAAAGCGGATGGTGGGGGAATGAATAATGGACCCGATCAAGATCCCATGGTTCCGTCGTCCCGGACCATCGTGGTCCCTGGTCTACTTAGTTAGAGGAGGTAGTCGACCCAACCTAATAGAAGGATCCTTGTCGGCAGCCATGAGTTGCTTCGTCCAAGGGGACCTTGTAGATCTGGGTTGGATATTTGCCTTAGGGGATAAATTTGAATCCATCTTAGCTAACAGAGGGCTTTGTGTCCTATCGATCATATCCTATTGATTCATATCTCAAAAATTTGATGCCACTAAGGAACGTATTGGCTCTAACCATAACGGTATTTCGTGGTGCCATTTGACAGCAAAATCACTCGGTTCAGAGGGCCTCAGGTAATAATCATTTATTCTACGATGTCATTTGTCGGCAAAACCGCCGGTCAGAAGACACGTACCACGTCCTTACTGGCAGGAGATTATTTGAGAATGGATCCTAGTGATATTTTCGACTATGCATTAGTTCCATATGAGCTGAAGTAAATTTTAATTTGTCCACCCCGACAAACTGTTGTTGATGTTGGATGAATTTTGCTTTAAGTGGTTAGATTTATTTCAATTTTAAATATTTGGATTTTAGAATTTTTGGATCTTCGGGTATTTGGATGGCATTTGAAATATTTGTGAACCCCTCCGGTTGAGATTTGCATCAACACGGTCATCATCGGGGTGTGGGGCCATTTTCAATTGAAAATATTTGCATTTTGTGGATGAACCTTGTTAACTTTGCCAAGCTGTTGACAGAAGATCGAATTTTGTAGGCGTTATGCCTTTGTTAGTGAATTCTCATTGTTATAGGCCTTGAAGGCCTAATATGAATGCATTAAAACAAATATATCAATCGCTGTAACCGTATATTTGTTTGATGGTTCGAACCATGTCGACTCTTATTGATTCGTATAGGAAGATCAGGTTCGAACTTAAATCCACTTATTGACCCACACAACATCCCTAGACGTTATGTATATACCAATAATATACTCGTCGGGGCCCATGCGGGTAGCAGTTGTATTTACCCCTTTAGTGTACATATGTACATACATATTACAGTGCATATACGGGAGTATTTTTAAAATATTTGTAAACACCTATCCACTTGTATGATTGTTGCGGATCCAATGGCATATTGAAGCAGCTTCTAAATTGAATTGTTTACTACTTAATATAAGTAGACTGTCGTGCACTACTTGCATAATTTATGCAGGTTGAATATAGTGCACTAATTAATCTCCTGCTTTTGGATATAGGTGAATCATAGCGTTATCACATGATTGCAATAAGATACTTCATTGTTTTGATGTAAACTCCCTTTTCTCATTCACCGGGAGGTCCTTGAAATTCGTGGCCACTACCTTGAAAAGAACTTTTAAGATTCACAGTGTATCAGACTTCTATAGGATGTATCATCCATAATCAAATAATTGTCTTCAAAATGGATAGAGGTATCTGGGCGGACTCGTTATTTCCAATGTTCATGGGTGTCAGAACTGTTTTCTTTCCAAGTATAGAACCAAGAAGAAACTTTGGAACACCAGGAAGTTTAGTTTGAATTTGTTCAAACATCTCTCCCATTCTATTAGGAGGTGTCCTCCTTACATCAAGTTGTCTTCATGTCCGACGTACTTGCAAATTTCAATCACCGCTGTAGTAGGTGATATATATACTTGTGTCAACAAGAGTTCATTGTGCTTACGATATACCCATTATTGTTATCCACAAGTGGTTGTATCATCCGCCCTTGCTCACAAGGAATGATTATATTCACTATAATCCACCGGACATATTTGTTGAAGAGCATATTGTACTTGCATCGCATCCACCTTTCACCAATCTCAGGTGGTTTGATGTGCTTGTTTGCAAGGATGGATCTTCCACTATCAATTGATGGTATTGCCATTTCAATCTTGTAGGGATTGTTAGATCTCCAAATTTTATTCATGATCACATCAATGCATCACTGATGGATAAGTTATTATATGTCTATTTATCCTCGAAGGTCATTTGCATTCGCCACCATTACATTCTTCCATATATTTCAATGTTCATGGGGACCATTGCAAATGCTTATATCTTTCGACATTCATAAGGACCACAGGGTGTTTGTGAAATAATTGATGTCGAACTCAATGAGATTTTCAGGTTTGTGGTTTGTTCACCATTGTTATTCAAGAGGGAGCTATTGCACTTGTTTGTTAGTCGATGATTGCCAACTATAAATACAACATTTTCATGCAGAGGGTCTTTCACCACTGTTGTGTATCAATCATCAATGATTATAGGTGTCTTAACGAATACTTTGGCATAGGTTACGAGCAAACCATGAATCATCATATTCATCAAGAGCTTTTCTAATGAATCAATACATTCATTGCAAGTAGATTAGAGACGAGCTAGCTCCAATATTATGAATAAATCGGTATGGTCCAAAAGCTCATATTACGAGTTTATAATCAAACCAAGTTCCTTAGTTTACGAACAAACTTCATTTGCAAATTTCTTGCTTTGATGATTCAATGTACATGATAAGTTTAATATCATCACTTATCAATATCTTTATCCCAATCAAGATTATCTTTGCATATTAGAAATTATTGTTCAAAAGTTCCATGTCAAAGTTTGGAATGAATTTACACATAGGTCCTTGTTTGTTTGCATGGGATTTGAATGACTCAAATCTTTCTTAGTTAGGATTTGCATACAAACCAAAATGATGATTCCACTAAGGAATTAACCCTTCAAGAAATTATTCATCTCAATCATAATTGAATCCAATTTAGATTCATATTCAAGTTCGTTGTAGTCCAAGATGGGTTCTTTGCTATTTGAATTAAATCCTTGTTTGAATCCGGATTGTCCAAATCATACTCAATTAGTGTTCAAATGATGTTCAAATTTGAGCTCATGTTAAGTTCTCATTTATCCTTTGAGTTTGATCAAGCTCAAGTCTTGTGTAAGTTCAAAAATTTATCCAAGTCCTCTGTAGTCAGTGGCGGAGCCAGAAATTTTATTGAGGGGGGGGCCTAAATTAAAATAATTTTGTTTGTTGTCTCATTACCATGGGGTCTCTCTTTGGAGGCAAGAGAGAAGTGAAAGATATTTAAATGAGTTTTACTAAACATTTTTTAAAATATTTTTATTTCAACTAATTTAAGTGAGTTTCAATTTCAGAAATCAACGATCTTTAGCTCTTTGGATTCGTCTCGTCGAGTCGCTGATTAGACTATAAGCAAATAAATTTTGAAAACCGTTTTATCATCCAAATTATGTTTTGAATCTTCCAACTGTGCTTTGGGTCCTTGATTTGGACTCATTTGTGCTCGGATTGAGTCGAATTTTATATTGTTACTCAAGTCTTTACTTAAGTTTAAATGTTCAAGTCATGTCCTTGTTCATTTGAGTTCTGTTGCATATGGTTCAGGCTTAGTTCATTCAATTTCATTTATTTAAGTTCAAGCCTTATATTATTGTGTTGAATTTTAGTTCAGGATTCATTTCAAATTCAAGTTTATTTGGATTCAAGTTTGAGTTAATTTTGTGCAAGTTCCTTGTTCTCTTGTTGTACAAAATCAAGTATTCTGTTGGTCCAAATTTTGTTCAAGTCCTCCACACTTCAAATGAAATTTTGGCAACCTCCCAACGTCTCCCCCATTTAGGGGAAAAACCAAAAGGTTTCCTTCCCTTCCACGCTACATGAGCGCTTCAGGAAGGTGTCGGGTGATACCGCGGTGACATTTTCTTTTATCCCCCAAGATGCTACATGAGCGCTTAGGGGTCTCGAGCACATGTTAGAGAGAAGCACAGGGATTTCCCCATGAGAACTTAATTTTGTCCCCCTCACGCTGTCACGACCCAACCCGACCGGAACGAATCCTTTCGCGTCGGGTCGAGACGGATGAAAATCCAGGATCTAGTTTTGGAATTTGTTTCAGAACTTTCTTCCAGATATTCAAACAAACATACAGAAAACACAGAGCTGCTAAAAACATCCAAATATACAGAAATGCATCCACTATTTTCTTCTTTCTTTCTTTCATCAAAACAATCAGAAAAATCGTCAGCGGCATAACGACAGTATACGGAATTTCCACAAAATTCACAGATTCAGAAATTTACCAAATTACCACAGATAGTACACAACATCATTCAAAGACTTTCATTGTACTGAGACAGTAAATTTAGACATCCAGATAAATTGTTATTCGATCAAAACTCCGCAGAATTCAAAATACCCGATAAGAATCTTCCAGAAAATACTCAAAACGTGCACAAATATCATCTCAGAAACATACCAAAAGTTACGCAGTAAAAAGTTCATCAGTACAAAACGGAATCAATTATTCGCTAACGGAGACAAAATCCGAAACAGAAAAGTCGTCAAAATCCTCGTTTCTGAAAATTGAGAAAGGCAGAATGTGCCTTACTTCGAGTCGGTTAACTTTTCCAACTACCGCTACGGACAGAAGTCGCCCAAAAATCACTTTTTTTCCTTTTTCCTTCGATTTTCTCTCTCCTGAACTTTTCTCTCTCTTCAAAAAGATCTCATTCCTATATATATCAATGCAGATCGTCCCGGACGATCCAAAATCATCCCGAGACGACTTGCCCTCGGGTCAAAATTCGTTCAGACGAATTTGAACTCGTCCCTGGACGAGTTGCTCTCGGGAGAAATTTCGTACGGACAAACCCCACTTCGTCCTGGGATGAACCTTCCAGCCAGAAATTCCTACACAACCTGTACCGATCGTCCCCGGACGATCCAATTTCGTCCGAACGAACCTAGAAGGAAAAATGGCTTTCACACACGCTACATGAGCGGTCCGGGGATTATCCACCTCGTTGTAAGCGTCGCACCGGTTTCCCTCCCTACTACGCTACGTGAGCGCATAAGGGGTTTGTCGGCTTGTCGCAAGCCGCGAGAGCGGGATTTTTAAGTTAGGAAAGATATAACTTCGTGAGGGGATGTCGGCGGTGGTAGAGTTGGCACGCGGATTGAGATAATATTTATAATAATAATAATAATAATAATAATATTATTATTATTATTATTATTATTATTATTACTTTTATTATTATTATTATTACAATTATATTACTACTATATTATCATAATATTACCTTTTTAGATTCGGGCACGGGTAAGAGGCCGGGTAAGAAGGATGGGTCAAGCTTGAGGAGATTTGGGTTTGGCTATATGAGGGTGAGGCTAGAATCGGGCTAGGGCAAAGTTGAGGGGTCAGTTCAGAGCAGAGATCGATGAATCTCTAGCTGGATGAAAGCATCGGCTTGGAGTTCGGGAGCAGGTAGCAGGTTGGGGCTGTTTGGGCTTCGGCTTGGTCGCAAAGAGGAGGTCGACGGGCTGTTTGGGCTTCGGCTTAGTACGCGACTCAAACTCCAATTTATCATAAAATTCCCATGTAATCCCTCTCCACCGATCAAAGCAGCCTACAAAAAATAAATGCATTAGCTATCACAAGAAATAATAAATGATGATAACAAAGGAAGCCACAAGAAATTAGTTGCGGAATCGCAACAGCAAGTGTTGAACAATAGAACACCTACAAGTCACAGATGAGTGCAAACCCATAAATCACGATATGCAAATACTATAACTTAGGAGGAGGAAGTCCTCGGGTGGCTAATTACAAAATAAACGGAGGGAGTTGGACATTGCAATAATGGAACAGAGGATCGACAACTACCAGAGATGAACAGCAAGAACAATGCAAAGGAATAATAGAGAAATTGAGGAAATTCAATACAGACCAAAGTTTCATGGAAGGGGAATATCCTAGGCCTGTGAATAGAGAGTTTTCTTAAAATGAAACTCCTTCCAAAATAAAAAGAAGAAATTGAAATGACAAAATTAAAATTAACAGTTCATGTTTCTTCTCAACACACACAGATTTGTGTTTTAGGCGGCTGCGTAGTTTGAGTTTCACAAACATTTATCACTTTATTTCATGAGAGCTAATTGGAAATTGACTTCACAATATCCAAAATTCAGGTTACACCTGTTTTACATGTTAATTTTCAAATTCCAATTATTCCCATCTCTAATATTCAACATACTAGCTTGACTTTTAACTGTAAGTTTGGATGTTTAGCAAGAACTAATAGTATTAAAACTCAAGATCAATCTCTAATATATATATATATATATTCTTGAATAAAATATGGCAACATGTACAGGTCAAAATACTCTAACCTCATAACTCCTAAATCATAAAGTCATTATCATAAACAATACTATATCTTAGCTAAGCAAAGCAAAAACAAAAAGATCACACAACGTCTCTTATTGTTTTAATTATAGCAGTTCTTATCCTTTGAAATTTAAGTACAAAATTTACAAAAAAAATTTCACATCCAATCAAGTCAATATGAAATAGAAGCTCTTAGGAAGAATGTTACAGATTCTTCTTGAAATTGGTCTTCATCTTGATTTGCTCAGATAGAAAAGACAATACATATTTTAGAAAAAAAAAAACAAACAATTATTGCAATTCATTACCTTGATTGTAGTCCAATTGACTAGCTGAGCTGTAGCTACAGCTGTCCCAATATTCTCCTACTGAAAATATTGGCTTTGACTGCTTTACGTATTCTTTAACAAAGTTTTCTTCATAGCTGAAATTTTATAGAGGAAAATTAGTTAATATAATTTGTCGATTTATTATCATACATGTATGAAAGTCTCTCGCAGTGGACTTACCCTTTTGCAAAATCAAAGCGGAAATCTTGAAATTTCAAGCTTTCACGAAGCCATATGAGCCAGTTGATTATATCTTTTCGTACAAAGGGTTGTGTATGGTCTATGTTGGGAACTCCAGGAAAATTGCAACCCGTGCTTTGATTTCCCTACATGCATTGCAGAAGCTAAAGGACTCTGAAGAGATGCGGGGTAGTAGGTTAAGGAAAAGAGGATCCGAACCAATCAATATAGCTATAATTTCTTTTTTTCCAGAATCTTCTCACTTCTAGCAGAGGAATTTATTATGTAGAGCAAGCCATCATAACGCAAAGCTACTTTAAGGTCATTCTGGCCCAGGACCGTTTTCCAGGATCCAATGCTACGATTACATTCATGATTAAAAGTAACGTTTTATAATAAAAAGAATGAAAAATGGCTTTTCATGTCATATGGAACAACAATTACAGCTTTGACCGAAAGCAATATATTGACAACAACAAGCCCTCAGATCAGATGATTTTACTATGATTCTAAAGTAGGAACTTGTTATACTGTAGGATCTTTACAATAATATTTAAGAGCTTCGTTATCTAAATGTTGCACATGCCTTCTTTGTTCTTCTTAATTTGTTACAATATGAAAAAATCACATCAAGTATCAAAGGGATATCAAAGAACAATGAATATAATTCCCTCTCCCACTAAAAAGCAGATTAATCCTATCATATAACTGAATAAAAGGGAAAAAGTTGGCAACGAGATATCAAACATAAGGAGAAAAGGTTAAGAACAATTACGCATTGAATCCTTCTACGATCAACCTAAGCTATACTTACATTCTTAATAAAGCAAGCATGGCATAAGGGAATCCCTACCGCATATTATTTAGCATATGTGAAATTTTATCATCATGCCCTATGCACAAAGATTTAGGTTTCGTTTGAGACGGCTTTCTTGCTGCTTCTTAAAGCAATTTTCTAGTACAAAATTTTAATTTTTGTACTACGAAGCTGGTCTAAGAAGCGGTAAAAAAGTCGTCCCAAACAAAATCTTAATCTAGAGGAACCAGAAGCAAGCACGCAAAGAACTTTAATAGGTCAAGTAACCTATTAATTAATAAATCATTAGTCAAACTAGCAATATAACATGAGATTGTATTAATTTCTTGCAACATAATTTTCAATAATGACCACCTCTAAAAAGCATGGCATAGATAATTAAACCTTGAAATCGTATCTACATTTGGTTGAAATAAATCGGTTAAATATAAGATGGATAGGATGGTTGTTCTAATGGATTAAGTTAAATTGCAAGGAAAGTTAATGAATTCCATGTTGCATGATTCCAAATAAGTTAAATACATTTGAAAGAGAATAGAATGGTTAAAAAATTAATAGAAGTTATATGATAGTTCAAGAAACATAGAATTATTTATTTGAGAAAATAAAATTACCAGCCCACCCGAACAAGATGTGATAGCATGTTCATCCCATGACATAGGAATACCATCAAAACGATTATATGCTCCCCCATGTCCTTGAGTAGTACCAACTCGATGGTTGATAACAATGTCAGCCATAGCTCTAATTTTGTGCTGGGAAAGTTTCTGAAGTAAAACTTTTAATTGGAGCTCAGAACCATAAGAAGAGTCGAGCGAATATAGGTTTTGCGGTAGATAACCTGAGAACAAGAAAACGTTCCCTAGTTTTCTAAGTACAAAACGAAAGAGAATCAGATTAATTTGTTCTCACCTTCTGGAGAAACAGAATGAGTAGCAGGAGGGAGCCAAACTGATGTAAATCCAGATTCAGCGAGATCAGAAACCTTTTTCTCTAAGTTAACCCACCAATCACTTTTATGAGACTCCCAATTGAAGCCCTGGAATATAATCTAAATTAGTAAAAAGAAAACCTTAAACAAGTCCAAACATTAGTTATGAAACTGAAGGTCCATATAGCCACCACAGAAAACTTCAAAAAAAAAAATCATCTTTCCAGCCTTTACATTGCAATCAAATGCTTCAATCTGAACTCATTTTTTAAGCATATAATCAAGCTGACTCATTAGAGAAAAAAAATTCACTTACAGTGCTAGGAGGAGAAATATAGCTTATAAATAATTTACTAAGAATAAAGCCACATGAAGCCTAGTAAAGATTTTGTAGGCATTAAGCATAATAGCGAGACATTGTTTCCATTCATCAAAATGTGCAGCCCTGCTTTGCTGGCAATATATTGGACAGCATTCTAAGTAAAATAGGCTATTAAAAAGGATAGTTCGAACCCCTAATTCTCATGTATCAGAAGAGCCGTTGCATTTCTCGTTTTGATTCTTCCATTTAGAAGAAGGACAATCTACAGCTAGGTCGCTAGCCTTAAAGGGGACATCACATAAGCTTATGTCTTTAAAAACCCTATAATTGATCGCTTGCATAGTTTTTCATATCACTTCGATCCTCCAACCTAGTTGTTGATACTAAAATGGCACTTAATGCATCACAGAAATTTGAATTAAATGTTAAGTAAGATCACATGACCATACTTGTGACCCTTAATGAATATTGGATGTTTAAGTTTCAAAAACGACATCCTAGTTTATAAAACCTTAGTTTTCTCTTTTCTATGATAATTATTATTATTTTTGGACAATTACTGCTATAGTAAAAAATTTTCAAACCCCGGATTCAGACTAAGTCATTTCGCTACAAGTTCGATAGATAAAGGATTTGTTAGTTCTGTGTGGAATATGATTGCATCGATCAATCAGGTTGTACTTTTAACTCGGAACTCAATTCCATCGGTCGAGCTCACCGAGGGATTTCAGAGGGGTCTCCCCTTCCTTGGTTTTGGGGGCCTTGCCCATAAATTTTTTTTTTAATTTCCATACAGTGTTGGGGCACTGTAGTCTCTGGTTGTCGATAAAGGGCAAAGCAGAGCGGTGTTCTAGGCTGCAGCACCACGGCGCTGCAAGGCGGCTAAGAAGCAGAGAGAGGAGCACCGCGGCCCTCTAAACCCTATGTCGCGACGCTATGAGTCGAGTTGGGTAGTTTGTTTTCTCATTTTTCATATTTAACTTGAAGTGTTGCATCCGATGGGGTAATTAATGTGCGTCTCTTTGTCAGTTCTGAATGAGGCAAAAAAAGGGTGAAGAGAGACAATGACAGAGTGAGAGAGAATGAGATCTATACAAAATCTCTCAATTTTCATAGTGTATTTCTTGGTGTGGTGTGGCTCCGTGATTTTTTCCCCAATTTCGATTTTTTTCACATTTAATCCTGATGTTATTTCTTTTCCATTACATTTTCACTTTCTTGTTTGTTTTCACTGCGTAGTTTTATTCCTAACAATTTGTTGACCGGCTTGTCAGCACCATAACCGATGCAAGCAACTGCGACAAGAAAGGCGACCGACAGAGGTGATGTCAAGAATGACTAACTTGAAGTGCCTCAATAGTTATTAATAACATTCAAATAATGTGCGTTTGTGAAACAAGGTGGATCAACATGTTCAGAGTGTCAAAAATTACCAAAGAAGAAACCATTCACATGTAAGTCAATCGTGTGATGACGAAACGATGTCTGATTACAAAACAAATAGCTCCATAGCATTCAAGACGTCAAAAATACCTTGAGAGGACCCCCAATGTTCAATTCGAGCGAACAAGGGAGAAAACGATGGACTATGGGTGCAATGTTGCACAAAATCATCCTAACAATATCCATTTGAAAAACAAGCTTCGCCATTGCATTTGGAACTTTGAAATTAATCCGAAGGGATGCCCACATTGCCCAAGTTGCAGCATGCGTTGTTGACGCATCATGAAGGTATAACGCTCGCAAAACTCAAAAACCATGATCGCGATGCGTTCAACATGACAAGCGAAACCCATGCGAGCATTTCTTAAAGAGATGAGGCAAACTCGTAAATGAAGTTCGTGATGCATCAGGTAAGCCTTGTGCATGTTTTTCTTAATACGGCAAGATAAAATTAAGTACTCGTTCGCATAGTTCCAACACACTGGGGAAATTAGTCTTTTCTCTCATGCAATTAATCAAGACATCATACACACCTTTCTTGGCATCATGAGATTAAAAACCATAGATGTGGTGTCACCTAAGACCGATAATGCACGTCTTAGTGTAGTGAGCAAGGCTAGACTCCCTAAAAATTTTTCCATACAGGAGAGACGCTAGAAGACAGCCGAAATTTCATCTAAGCATCATTTAAACAAAGGACTATTAAAATAACACGCATAACTAAAATACAACAAAATAAAATATAAATGCGCCTCGAGGACAAAAATGAGAACACCTAAAATGTAATATTATTTGCTTCAAACAAACAATAACAAGTAAGAGATTTTTAATGAAAATGTCTGCCTATGGGCAAGAACACAACCAACCTTTGATCAAAGAGTCTTTGATAACCACAATATTAGACTGACCAAACTTCATCAAAGGCTATTATGGGCCGACAGACAAGGTGACTAACAAATCATATTAATGTGTCAAAAGCCTAAACAAATATTATGTAATATTTCTAAGAAAATGATAAGTATAAATTTAGAAGAAAATGAAAGTAAAGCAAGTAATTTCATACCAATAATTGACTGGCCTATTGCTTTAAACAATTTGCTATTTGGCATATATATTTCACCATTGTAGGGATATTCATATTCATTGCTTAGAATCAAATTCTTATATCAAATCATCAAAGTAGATTTCGACTTAAAAGTATTGCATAGATAGTTATATATATGAAAATAAATGCTCATATTAGTTCATAAGATTAGGATTATATTCTTTTGTTGTAGGTTTAAAATTTCTATTCAAATTATTTATACCACTAAACGTAACTCATTTGATATTATAACAGTGGTTTTAGAAAAAGGAAAACAGCGCAGGGGCGGTAGACAGGTGATAAATAGTCATCTATAATAGCTTTTTGGGTGTGCAGTTTTGGATATATTATAGAAGATGTGTATGATATATATTAAAAACTTTTAGTACCTATGAAAAGATATTTGAAGTATATTTAGAAGCTCTATAGTTCATTTGATAGTTTTATTTATACATGCTTCACTATCATTGCTTGTGATGGATCTACTAGATAATTGTGAAGTGCAATATATATTTTATGACAATCAAAACATATTAATTTTTCACTAATACAATCTTGATTAGTAAAGTCAGGATGATTGTTTACAAAAAATGTGTCTAACTCGATTATCCATCTCTACTATGCCCCATGGTTGATTGGAAGTAGTAAAAAATATGGCATGGCAAATGCTAGGGATCAAAGTTGAGCATAATATACAAATAGATAGACGACACCCATAAACCTAAAAATATAAGCTAATGGATAATAGCCACTACTAGAATATTAAAAACTCAACTCTTGTTCCATATATGATATAGAAATATTATTCACTCTCATGTGGATATTAGCAAATTCTCATCATAGAAGAGTCCTCCAAATTGACCATCACTCTTTTCAAATAGAAACTTTTTAATATTATCAAACATTACGAGTCCATTGAACCACATAGAGCTTACATGGGAGCCACCATCTCATAGTTTTGCTTAACTATAGTAGAGGTAATTCATACCGAATTAAGCTATAAACCAAATGAATCATTAATTATCGTCGAGCCATCAGCATAGATATCACTTGTTAGTAGGTTGAAACAATTGAGCTCTCAATTCAGCCTAATATACAAGTGAATGGACAATTATGAACCCAAGGAGACTAAGTTAATAGGTGATGGTCTCTACTAGTAATGTTAAGAGCTCGAACCTTATTTCATATATGATATGAGACTATTCTCAACTCTCATATGGGTCATATCAATCTCCATCTTACAAAAGAGTCATTCACTTTAGCTATCACTGTTTATAAAATTGAATATTTTTAATACCATCATTAATATAAAGATTTGATGGCACAAACTCAAAAAAATAAATTGAGTGAGTAAATAAGACAAGCAATGCTAAGATGGCATAATCTCAAATGCAAAGTGGGGTAAATAATTTTTCAAAAGCTTGATCTTTAAGATAATTGGGCCCACCGAAGAAACCGTGGGTGTATGAGTAAAATCCCAAATATATCTTTGATGGATACCAGCAATAACATAAAATGCATTGAAAATGAAGCTTTAAAATTAGACATTCTCCTAAAATGGATGCAAAAAAATCCGTGACTCTCCATGATGCAATTACTTATACTATTTTTTATAGATAATGCCAAATTCTGAAGATTTGCATGTTAAGTGCTGTTTTACAAGAGCTTTTTACAACAATATTTTTTTTATTCTCAACTACTTAACAAATACGGGCTATTTAATCGGTCACACTGTTAGGGAATTGTATTCCATTTTGTCATATTTCAACTCTTTTTAGCATTTGACTTAAATTAAAATAAATATGTTAAATTTCAACCGTCCCTTGGCATTTTGATCCAATGGCTAGGATGGGGATCCATGGGAGGCTCACCTGGATTGCGCCAATCTCACCGTCCCTTGGCATTTTGATCCCACAGCTAGGATGGGTATCCGTGGAAGGCTCACCAGGATTGTGCCAATCTCCTCCCATATTTAGGTGGTTGATTTATGAATGATTATATTAAAGCGATTATATATGATTCTGTAATTATTTGTTTCTTTTTTTAGATATCTTGTATATATCTATAAATAGGGACAAGTTTGAGCAATAAAATTAAGGTTTTTCCTTCTCCAATTCTTTGAATTTAACATGGTATAAATTAAATTTTGAGAGATTTGAACTTCCCCCACATTTATGGCCAGTTCATGAAAAATCCAAAGCAGACTCACATGCAAGATGTAGACAGAATACTGTATTACCTTAAGGGGAACCCAGGTAAAGCGATTCTCTCCAGAAGAGACTATGGAATAACCCCAGAAGCACATACTGAAGCAAATAATGAAAGATCACCAGTAGATAGACGATCTATCTCAAGATACTGCACATTCCTTGGAAAAAAAAACTTATTACATAGAGAAGCAAGAAATAGAACGCGGTGGCAAGATCTAGTGCAGAAGCAAAATACAGAGCTATGACCTTGGAAAAATGTGAGCTATTATGAATCATGATGATTCTAGAAAAGTTAAGGATAAAATGGGAAGAACCTATGAAGCTACACTGTGACAATAAATTAGCAATCAGCATAACTCACAATCCGGTTCAGCATGAGAGAACCAAGCTTATAGACGTGGACAGAAATTTCATAAAGGAGAAACTAGACAATGGTCTTATATGTATACCATGTCTCATCAAAAGATTAGCTTGCAGATATTCTTATCAAGACTTGATAACTCCATATTTCTGAAATTGATTATCAAGCTGGAAATAACATATATGTATTCCCTAGCTTGAGAGAGAGTTTTAAATCTCAGCCATCTCTTGGCATTTTGATCCCACGGCTAGGATGGGGATCCATGCGAGGTTCACCTGGATTGCGCCGATCTTCGCCATCCCTTGGCATTTTGATCCCACAACTAGATGGGGATCCGTGGGAGGCTCACATGGATTGTGTCGATCTCCTTCTATATTTAGGTGGTTTATTTAGGAAGGATTATATTAGAGCAATTATATATGATTCTATAACTATTTGTTTCTTTATTAAGATATATGTATAGATCTATAAATAGGAATAGGTTTGAGCAATAAAATTAAGCTTTTTCCCTCTCCAATTCTTTGAATTTAACAAAATATAAATTAAATTTGAGAGATTTGAAATTCACCCACATCTATGGCATCATTACATTTGAAAATCTACAAATTGGGTGATTTCTAAATCTAGCACTGTGATGTGCCCATTCATAACTTCCTACACACCATCATCTCTATCTACCACTCACCCTCATCTACTAGCGTTGCCCATGCCCAGCCTCATCCACATTTCAATACATTTGAAATGTATCCCAAAAATAATAATAATAATAATAATAATAATGCATTTGATTTAACATACCACCAAACAACTCATCCATTTTTGAATACATGTATTCCTAAAATGCATGCATTTCAAATAACTTTTCATTTCTAAAATACATGTATTTTAAAAATATCCAATCAAACAGCCCAATAGATTGTTGTAAATAATATACTACTTTTTGAACATCTAAAAATACTAGAATAGTTCAAAGATCTAACTTTCTATTTTATGGAGATCTTTGATTTTATGCTCATTGAATAGTCGAGCAAATAAATGATCAACTCAAACACAATTACTTTTAAATTTTATGTTATTTTGTAGTTTTCAATTCAAGTGAAAATTTGTAAGCATGCCCATAGTGATGTGGCCTATGAGAATGGGATATGTTATCTGCTTTTATTATGATATTTTATTTTGGTTTGGCTCATCATTGATGTAAATTGGTTCAATTGTTGATTTAAAGAAGGTTCTCAGCCTCATTGTTGATGGTTGTAATTGGGTTCTTGATTTTGACAATAATTTATTTATGCGAATTTTCTAGTCTTTCCGCCAATTTCCTTAATCTTTTTCTTCAAACATATTTTTTTCATTGGTTTTACAGAAGTCTTAAGTCATGATTTTAGTTATATTTTCTATAGTTGGGATTTCAATCGCAATGTAAAAATTTAATTGCTCATTGAATTTTTTCTTTATCGGATTTGTCTTTGATTTCTTTAAATTAAAAGACTGATCCATTATCATTTTGTTCAAGATTTAATTTTGGGTTTACACCTTAAAATATTTTTTTTAAATGATTAGTTATCTTTGATCTATAAATATTATTTGTGTGCAATTTTCATTCATCATATTATTCTAGTTGCACTAAGAATACAAAACCCTTCCATATCATGCATCATTGTTGCTCCTCTTATTTCTTTGAAACAAACTGACAATGATGAGCTTCGCTTTACTAACTTCCACCTCAAGCTCATATACAGAAAGTTCCCCCTAGCTGGTCAAAAGCCATATTAAGCTTCTTTTGTCTAGTTGGTTGTTAAAACCATTATCCATTAGAGTCTTAATCTCTTTGTTTTCTTCTCCATTCAAATTTTAGAAATACATCAGTTATCTACTCTTGAATATCTACTTATGGGAGTTAATTATATGCTCATACTTGTCGACAAAGAAAATTGAAGTAGGTTTTAACCCACCCTCATGTCAAGACTCAGGAGAAAAGATATTTACTAATTTGGTTGGCCTACAATGCGTATATAAAGATTGGGCATCAAGAAGTATCCTATATCAAAGAATATTTCCGAATATACTATTATTTTAAATAGTCCCCATCAGCTTCAAGAAGTTATTTCATACAAGTTTTGGGTATTAATCTTTTTTTATGATTCACATCTCACTCTGAAAACAATTAAATGTCAAGGGGTAAGTTCCACAAACTTCCTTCTAGACAAACAATGGAACTAGGATCCAGAGTAAATTACCAGCTTTTTTTTCATATAAAAGGAACTAGCATATAACGCAGCTCATACTGAGAAGCTCAAAGTGCTTCATCAACAGGAAATATGTTCAAATGAGAGGATCAAGCTTATTAAATTAGTTTACAGTGCTAATTCGCAAACAAGGCCATGTTCGACACATCTTCTCATTAAAAATCTAATGCCCATTATTACAAAGAAAACTATATTACAGAAGCATTGATCAAAAAACCAGAAACCATTATAAATATTTATTTGAATACCTGGAAAAGTATTTCCCTTCCATTCCGTATGACACCACCTGCATGAATATTCCAGAGATGATCAACGACAACTTTATCCCTTGGAATAGATTGTGACAGTTAAAAACTGCACAAGTATATTCAGTGGCGGAGCCAGAAAATATCTCTAGGGGGGGCCTAAAATTTTTTTTATTATATTATTATTTTTCTTCAATTTTTTACATCCAGACTTAAGACCAATATAATCAATATTAAAAATGATAAAACTTTGTTAGTGAATTATTAGGGGGGCACGTGCCCCCCCTCCCTCCGCCCATGAGTATATTATATGTGAATCATAAATACAAACAGAAATGAATATATAGATAGATAGATATAGAGAAAGAGAGAGAAAGGCAACGTTATAAGCTATGCTAATCTCCAATGGAACGGCAAACAACTCCGTCGCTCCAACCGAGCGGCAATTCTTACACCATTTCATCACGGATGAACAGTACGACGCCAATATTGGTGTTGCACTGTTCATCTTCGCCATTTTTTGTCTTTATCGAACTTGCCGAAGAAACCCGTGAAAGAAGAGAGCGACCGTTATGGGGCAAAATGGAGTTGGATTGGAGATGAATCACAGCATTTTTTAGTTTCACGGCATTTTGGAGTAAAAAAATGAGATTTTCAGTTGGAGGTGCCTTTTAAGGAAATGGAGGAATGCCATGAAGGAATATGACCTAGAAAACATACCATCAGCAAAGGCTGCCTCCTCGTACCAAGGCTGCATTGCAACAAAAAATTGTTTAGCAAAAGAACAGTTTCTAAATAAAATCAGTATTACAGGTTTGATGACTTCCAGAAATGATATTAACTATGAGAGAGAAATGGGGCATTCTCTCTGTGTAAGTGCATCTCTGTGTGGTTTTTTCTTCTTATTATTATTATAATTTTTATTTTATTTGATACATTGGTTCCTTTGAAAGAACAATAAAGTTTGAAACAGACAAGGATTGCATCAGAAAAAAAATATATGAATGATAGTCACATAATACTTACATTATCAAAATACCCCATGCAAGGCCTCGATTAACCCAGGTAAAAGCTTGCCTGCTAGATAAACCAAGCTAAACAATCAGCTCATGAACTCCTGAGAAAACCAGTCAGGATAAGCACAAAAGAAAGTCAAAAATGCTAAACTCCTGAGAAAACCAGTAAGGATAAGCAGAAAAAAAAGTAAAAAATGCAAACTGGTAGCATCTACGCTGATTTATGGGTTTTGGCCGAAGATGCGCTCGAAAGGGGAGAAAGTTTGTTACCGTCGCAGTGAAGTCGTCGAAGGAGGCGAAGGAAGAACGCTCTCTACCTGTGTGCCGTCCGATCCCACTCGTCCAAGTAGGCGAAGAAGCTTCCAGCGACCTGACCTCAGGAGAGGTGGAAGTCGAAACAAGGAACTTTTATTACATCCAGTGTACGCTCCTCTATTTTCAGTTTTAGATCAAAATAGTGCAATACCGAGTTTTTTCAAAAAAATTTTAGGTCAAAATAGTGCAATACCGAGTTTTTTCAAAAAAACTCGATACAACTCGGTACTCGGTATTGCGCTTTTTTTACCTAGAACCGAACGTAGAGGAGCGTACGTTCACTGGATAAAATAAAAATTCCGAAACAAGAGGAAGAAGAAAGGCAAAGAATAAGGGGTGAAATAATAAATAATTGCAAAATTAATTAAATAGTAAGAAATTTACTAAAACAAAGTGAGAAATTAAATATTAAATAATAATTGAATGATTAACTAATGAATTACCAATTTAATTAATTTGAATAGAATATGTAAATAATTAACTAGATAATTAATAGTATATTTAATAATTAAAAATTATTTAAATTAAAGTTAAATATCTATTTATTTATTCAACAATTAATTTAAATTATAACTAACAAGTAATTAATTTTTAAAATATATATTAAATTTCAAATACAATTTAAAGACTTGCTTTTCATGCTAAATCAAGAATATGCATGAGCCTTCTACATGTTAAGCTTAGGAGATAATGAAGTAACTTGATGTCATAAAATCAAATATATTATCTCGCAAATCTGTATAGCGCTAGTCAATAATATCGACATTAATATTGACTAATAAAGGAGAAATTATTATGTGCGAAAACCGGACAATAAGAAACGTTTTAATTTGTTGTCTTTTAGCTACACTTTTTTACGCTTTTATAAATACTCAATAAAAAGACAACAAATATATATTCATAATTATACTTTTGATACTCTTTTACTGAATATTTACAAAAAGCGCAACAAAAGGTCTTCAATTAGCTGCCCTTTTTATAAATACTCAACAAAAAGAAAAACAAAAATATAATTATAAAGACATATTTACTGTCTTTTATTGAATATTTACAAAAACGTAGCAACCGATCTCCGCACATAATATTTTCTCACAGTAAACTAGACATGGTGACTCTACATTGACAGTTTGAATAACGTTTAGGTAGAATGATAGTCACGTATTTTCTGCCGGACTGTCAAAGTAATCGTCTCCTGTGCCAGGCATCGATGATGATCAAACCCATCAGCTCAAAATCACGGCGACTTTAATATATAAATATTGTCTTAGCTTAGTAATTACACACCCTAATGTCACCATTCAAGCTACTAGCATTTCACCATTGGCATCGTTTGTAGCCTTTGCTTAAAGGTGATGTTCCTTGGCTCCTGATCAGCTGACACCTCTATCATGCCATGCCACCTCCTAAGAGGAACTGTTTGCCGTTCTTCCGTCGCTCCAACCGAGCGGCAATTCTTACGTCATTTTATCGCGGATGAACAGTATGACGCCAATATTGGCGTTGCACTGTTCATCTTCGTCATTTTTTGATCTCTACTGAACTTGCCGAAGAATCGCGTGAACGATCATTACGGGATAAAATGACGTTCGATTGGAGATGAATCATGACATTTTTTAGTTTCACAGCATTTTGAAGTGAAAAATGAGATTTACGGTTGGAGATGCCCTAAGCCATCGAGACATCAAATCCTTTGTTTGGGGTAACCTACTTAGCGCATTTCTTAAAAAACTAACCAACACAATAAATGAAATTATGTCAAATTCACAAAGATGCAGAAAAAAAAAAAATAATGTTCGAGTTAGAGCTCCTTAACGCTTTAAGAACTACATAAAAGGGGGTAACTGCTATAAATTGCTACTAATGGAAGATATAACATTAAGTGTTGGAAAATATAATTTGCTACAAAAGTATTGGCAAAATTCCATGGGAAAATCTACACATAAGAAACACCTCTTTAGTGCTCGTAAGCTATCACCCTAATTTGATCTTCCATTATTCTTCCTCGTCATCAGCTTTATATACAATTACAAAGCTGAGCACCAATTTTACAGAAACTGGAAGCAAGTTTGTAGAGCTTTTAAAATATGGTGGGAAAAGAGAGTCATGACTGATCTTGCTTTGAGGCCAACGCATAAGAAGAATCCTGACTCGCAAACCCAGATGCATCTGCTAGAGCTTGTAGATTCTGCTCCCCACTTAAAACCTGATATAAGAAACGTTCTTGTGATGGTTGAATGAAGCAAACTTATGATAATGACTAATGAGATGGGTAGGAAACACTCTTTCAAACAAGGTTAGTATTTCCAAGGTATAGGATTCGTTTATAACGACTTTCTTACTGCTTCTTAGAGCAGCTTTCTACTGCTCTAAAAAGCAGTAAAAAAGTAGTCCCAAACAAAGCCATACTCTTTCTTCAGGTTGGCATTCTTAAAAGCTAATAGAGACTAGTCAAGGCCAATAAATGTTTAAATAGCAACAATATAAAAATTTAAATTAGAATATTCTAATTAAAGTTTAATCGAGATGAATTTTATGCTTCAATAAATTTGGTTTGAGATTAGTGCAATAAAAAAAAAATTTATTGATTAATTATGTGTTGCCTTCCGATGACCAGGTTAGGAGAGTAGAGGTACTAGATTTGACTTATGCTAAGAAAGATAGAGGTAGACCTAAAAAGACTTGGTTAGAAAATATTAGAAATGATCTTTCTTTATTAGATTTAAATGAGAATTTGACTTTTAGCATAACACAATGGAGAAAAATGATTCATGTAGTCGACCCCACATAGTGATACAAAGGCTTGATGTTGTTGTTGTAATTATGTGTTGCATTAATTTCAAAATAAATTAAATAATTATAAAATTTATTATAACTAAATTTTGAACACAATATCTTAATTCCTACCGAACTTTTCTCATTGAAATAGACTTAGTTATTACCTTCCCTTTTATAATCCACGTAGGGAAGCCTTCCAGTCCAGCAAGTGTGCATTCCGTAGTCATTTTCCTTCCTTTTCCAACCCCGTCAGGGAAGCACTCAACATAATCTAGAATTTTTGCAGCTTCACGTCCAAACATCTAAATCAAAAGATTTGATTGTAAGAATTAATTTTGACAATATTGAAAAACTCTTTTTGACAAGGCTTAGCACATCATGGAACACTTTGGGTAATTTAATTTTTACCCTTCGTGAAGCATGATTTGCTATAACCAAAAAGCTAGAAACAAATAAAAAAATTGGCGCGCTTTTCAAGGCTCAAAATTTTCAGGGATGCTAATATTCAGATAATTCTCGTCTGGCATAAACAAATAAATAATTACAACAGTTTCACAGAGAGAAGATGACACAGAAATAAATTATAATTATACTTATACCAAATTGATGAAGAAAAATGATCTTGAAGTAATTTGATCATAGGCAGTTAATGAATGAACATGTCCTTTAGAATTGTTTATTACCCTCTTGAATTCAATCTCTAATTAAAAAAAAATGTAAGGCTTCGTTTGGGAAGGTTTTCTTACTACTTCATAAAGCAGCTTTCTAGCACAAAAATTAAATTTTTTATATTAAAAAGCCGCTTTAAGAAAGAGTCGTCCCAAACGAAGCCTAAATTAGTCAAGTGGTGGTTTATTTTGAACTGAGAAAATAATAAAACAGCTTTTGAAAACTGGAAAAAGCCGGTTAGGGAACGCTACAGACATCAATCACGCACCATCATGTCAACAAACAAAATCACAATCTATGGTATAGCATCTATTTAAATGTGTAGTAGCCTCACTAAAGTGCAAATCATGATTGCCCTTGGGTGAGTTTTACTTACAATACATATTTCAAGTCATATTTTTCACTTACACTATCAATTTGATCCGGTACTAAATACATGAACGTGTGACCAAAGTAAACAATTAAGAGACCGTGAAAGGAAAATGAGAATTGTGTATTTTTTCTAGACTTCCAAATGAGCTAGGAGTAAGTTAGATATCTCAAGATTGAGTATATCCACTTTAGATGAGTTTCATTTGCTGTTTTCCCTTTCTGCTTGCTGTATAATGCAAACTTTCTTCTTAGATTCGAGCTTCCATTTGCTGAATAGCGACTCTTTCACTGTTTTTTGTGGCAGCAGCAGCAACCAACAACAGATTCAGGCTTCATTTGGGACGGCTTCATGGCTACGCTACTTTATAAAAAATTGTTAAATGCTTATTTGGGGCGTCGCGGCAGAAGGAAGTTAGAAAAATTTTTGCGGCCTGTGGCTACTTCAGCGACCTTTCGGTGCCTCCCGCGGTCCGCTGCTTCCCGTGGTTTTGAAGAGAAAAAAATGCTGTAAATGCCCCCATTTGTGCGAGACTGCTTCTCCCTCGTCGTCAGCGGATCAGTCTGGGCTCTAATCACTGCTGAGCTCTCCACCCTCTTCCCCTCCAACGGTGGCTACGTCGTCTGGATCTCCTCTGCCTTCAGCCCCTTTTGGGGCTTCCAACAGGGAATCTGGAAGGCCTAAGGGCTTCTGGTGCCGCGGCAAGCAGTATAGTACAGTGATTGTCTTCTCTGTGAAAACAGGACTCCGGTGGGTCAGCGAGGAATCTGTGGATGTTTGTCCAGCCGGAGCCGGTGGGGAGGGCGAGGAAGGTTCCGAGGAAAGAGGGTTGCGAAGGACGGCGTCGATGTCGCGGGGGAAGAATTCGACTTTTGAGAAGCAACGGCGGTAGAGGATTTCGGCGTTTGCAGGGGAGAGGCGGACGAGTGTGACGGCTCTGCGGAGGGGGAGGCGGTGTCCGGCAAAGACCGGTTGTACGAGTAAACTTGGCGTGCGGAACTTGGTGTAGCCGCAGCAGCTAGTGAAGAGGCGGAGAGAGGCTTCGTTGTCTTTGTCGGTCGCCATGTATGCATATTCGGCGCCACTTGAACGGAACCACTCCATTTGCTCCACGAGCTGCAACCCGACTCCCTTGCGACTGTATGATTATATCCATTTTATTAATTGTTTAACCACTTTTTAAGCTGAAGTTGCAACATTTATTATATATGGTTCATTATAAAGTAATAATTGAGAATCTAAAATCTGAACAAATTATTTTGAAATATGGTAGAAAAATTTAAGTAAAAAAATTATAATATTTTTATATATAAACTTAAAAAAATTAAAATAAATATTTGATTTGAATTTAGAATTATTAGTTTGTTATCATATAAATTTAAAAACATTTATATTTAATAAAAAAATTTCATGCTAATATATAGAAGGGTATCAAGGTAATTTATTGTAATACAGCAGCAGCTCAGCAGTTATACTACCCAAACAAAATTTATTGATTTTTGTACAACAACATTATAAAGTAGCTTTCTGGACAACAACTTCATAACCTGCTTTGCCGACAACTGCAGCAGTCCCAAACGAAGCCTCAGTGGCGCAAAAATGATATCAGCAAAGCACACAGCTGAAGCATATTTAGGGATGGGGAGAGTGAAAGGAAGCAGTTGTAGAAAAACCAAGAAAAGTTTGGCTGAATTTGAATTTCAGCAAAAGCAAAACAGTGATTGAGAAGAACAATGTGGGAAACTAGGAGAAAATCTTTATAATTGATGAAATATGGAAGAAAACGAACAAGATACAGTGGATTTTCAATTCGAGAGGAAGATCCAACTCTCCCAATCTCAAACCGCTATCTAGAGCCCAATCAATACCTAGAACAATCTAATTTCAGCCAAACAAGAGAAAACCCTAACCCTGGGGAAAACTCCTACTTAAAGCATAGAATTACATGTGAAATACCAACATAGCCCTCCTAATTCCAAATTCAACTCTTCCCGCCCCTCATCTTAGTGCATTAAATCGTGGATCAGTCTAACAATACCCTCCTCCCAAAGACTCGCCTTGTCCTCAAGGTGAAAGGCGGGAACTGATGCTTCACCCTTTCGTACGGCTCTCAAGTGGCATCATAGTCGGGTAAGTTTTTCCATTTGATCATCACTTCCTTGATCCCTCCTCCCTGTCGTACCCGTTTTCAGCTCCAGTGGTTCCAACACCACCTCCCAATTTTCATTGAGTGTCGTCGGTAATCTGAACTGGTTGAATGATCCCCAATAGCTCCCCTTAGCTAGGACACAAGGAACATTGGGTGTATGGTAACCGTCGTTGGTAAAACTCAATCGATAAGCCACTTCCCCAACCCTCTCTAGTATCTCATAAGAACCAAAGTACCTCGAGGCCAACTTCTCGATCCTCCTTTTAGCTGTTGTCCTTAGTCTATAAGGACAAAGCTTCAAATATATCCTATCCCCCATCTCAAACTGGATGTCCTTCCTATGCCCATCTGCCTGCTTCTTTATGATCTGTTGAGCCCTCAACAAATGTATTTTTAATTCCTCCAAAATCCTATCCCTCTCCTCCAAGTATATTCCACTGAAGAAATTGGTGTGCTACTCAACCCAAAATGCACCAGGTGGGGTGGATCTCTTCCGTGCAACACTTTAAAAGGAGTTATCTGCGAAGCCGAATGATACGAAGTGTTATATCAGTGCTCTGCCCATGATAGTCACTCGGCCCACAACGGAGATGTCTCTGAAGTGAAACATCACAGGTAAGTCTCTAAGCTCCTGCTAACCACCTTCGTCTGCCCATTTGTCTAAGGGTGGTAAGCAGTATTCCTCTCCAGTAATGTCCCCTGCAGCCTAAACAACTCACTTAAAAAATGACTGAAGAACATCTTATCTCGAACGGACACTATAGACTCCAATATCCCATACAATTTGACCACCTTACTGATGAATGTCGTTGTCACTATCACTACGCTGTATGGATGTCGTAGTGGAATGAAATGAGCATACTTGCTCAATCTGTCAACTACCACCAGAATCATTATAAATCACTCATATCGAGGAATGAAATGAGCATACTAACTTATCTATAAAGTCCATGGTGACCTCCTCCTACACCCTGTCGGGTACAGCTAGGGGTTGAAGTAACTCCCATGAGCCATGGTCATGTACTGATCCCGTTGGCATACCTCACATCTAGCCACCATCTCTTACACATCATTATGTATCCCCTTCCAATACAATTCTAGTGTCAATCTCCTGTATATCTTATGCACACCAGAATTACCCACAACAACGCTCTCATGGAACTCCTGCAGCAAGTGTGGAATATGGACCAAGGTCCGAGGCAACACAAACCTCCCCTGGTACAATAGTCTATCCCTCTATAGGAAATAGCCAGGGTGACTATTCTCATCCCTCAGTATATCTGCTCTAATCTTTCCCAGCTCCACATCATGCACACTCTCCTCTTTAATAGCCCCCCAATCTAGCATCAGTGGTATCGACATGGCTGACTCATGGAGCTCCCCCATGCATCTGGACAAGGCATCAGTCACCTTGTTCTCTAACACTGGCCTATACTAGATCTCAAAGTCATAGCCCAACAGCTTTGACAGAAATTTGATAGGAAGTGAATGCAATTTCAACAAAACTAGAGAACAACACAAGAAATTTAAGAACACACAAGAACTCTTTATTAAAAGATGTATGAAAGGAAAACGTTATATATAATTGGATCTTCAATTGGAGAGAAAGATCCTGCTCTCCCAAATTCATAGCCGGCGGCTAGAGCCCTCACAACCTAAAAAATTATAATTTCAGCAAACTCAAAACATAATATTGAAATCACCCTACTGTCAGCCTTAAATAAGCTCTCCTAATTCCCTCCCAAGTCAGTCCCCTTTCCCTAAATAATTCTCTAATATTTGAATTTAAATCAGATCTCTTGCCCTAAATAATTCCCTCTCAATTAAGGTGTGTTGATTCCTATCTTTAAGAATAAAGGTGATGCACAACATTGTGCAAATTATAGAGGAATTAAGTTGATGTGTCATACTTAAAAACTATGGAAGAGAGTTATGGAGCATAGGTTACAACATGATACTAATTTTCTCAAAATCAATCTGGATTTTGATAGGAAATACTAGAGTATTTTAAGTAACCCCTTGCAAGATTTGATAAAAACAGCGAGAAAACCTCAAGATCTCCAATGAAAACAATCCAAAAACAATAGATTGTATTATAGAAATCAAACCAAAAGCAAGAACAAACAAAGATACAATTGATCCTCAATTCGAGAGGAGGATCGTTCTCTCCCAATCTCTAGATGATGAATCTAGAGCCCAAGACACCCAAGAGAACTCCAAGAGAATATAATAATCAAAACATAACCCTAACCCCAATTCTCTCATCCTACTTAAAACATACAATTAATTAATCAAGCAAAATGACTAAGGAGTCCTTGCCACCCCCTCCTTTCCCTCCAAGGAATTTGAATTTGAAGCATTGGTGACCCCACTCCTCTCCCTCTCCCTTTGTCGCCTCCCCTCCTAGAGTAGAACTAAAGGGACCGGTTGTAATTGGACCGGTCCACTAAGGACCGGTCTAACAGATTTATGCCAAGTAGGTCTACTATAGAAGCCATACATTTATTGAGAGGTTTGATGGGGAAGTATAGAGAGAAAAAGGAAGATCTTTATATGATATTTATTGATTTATATAAAACATATGATAAAGTTCTAAGAGAAGTGCTATGGAGAGTTCTAAAAAAAATGGATTAATAATGCTTATATTCAAGTCATTAGGGATATGTATATTGGAGTTGTTACTTATGTTCAAACACAAGGTGGTTTGACAATTGGATTACATCAAGGATCAGCCTTAAGCTCATATCTTTTTGCTTTAGTCATGGATGTTTTTACTAGTAATTTGCAAGAGGATGTTCCCTGGTGTATGTTTTTTGCTGACAATATTCTTCTTGTTGATAAGACTAAAGAGAAAGTTCAAGGTAAACTTGAATTATGGAGGTCAACTTTAGAGTCTAAAAGTTTTCATTTGAGTATATCTAAAACTGAATACATGGAATGTAATTTTAGTAATAATAGATTTAGTGGAGGTTTGTGACTTTAAGCAATCAAGTCATCAATAAGAGTACATATTTTAGATATATTAGGTTTATTATTCAGAGTGATGGTGAAATCGATGGGATATTATTAGTAGAATTCAAGTTGGATGGATCAAATGGAGGAATGCATCGAGCTTGTTGTGTGATAGAAAAGTACCACTCAAAGTTGAGGGTAAATTCTATAAGATGGTGGTTAGACCTGCAATCCTTTATTGCGTAGAATGTTGCCCATTAAAAGAGAAGCATAATATTAAGCTAAGTGTTGCAAAGATGAGGATGATCAGGTGGATGAGTGGCTTTACTCTTAGAGACAGGATATGAAATGAGCATATACGTGAAAAGGTTGGAGTAGCACTAGTGGCAGATAAGATTATTAGAGAGAGTCGCCTTAGATGGTTTAGTCACATAAAACGGAGGCCTTTCGATGACCCGGTTAGGAGAATAGATGTATTAGATTTAACCTATGTTAATAAAGGTAGAGGTAGACCTAAAAAGACTTGGTTAGAAAATATTAGAAATGACATTTCTTTATTAGATCTAAATGAGAATTTGACTCTTAACAGGATGCAATGGAAAAAAAAAGGATTCATGTAGCCGACCCCATGTAGTGGGATAAAGGCTTGTTGTTGTAGTTGTTGTAATACTAATTTTCACTAAGGACAAGCCATTCCTTACTAAACTTTTTAATCATCTAATCGGGCAAGCTATTGTTAACATCTTAAAGTGAGATTCTTCCGGACTAAGGAAGCTATGATCCCATTGGAGAATGCTGACAAAATAAAAAAGTTTACTAATAAATAGCACTAAAAGCACTGCTCTGCATAGCTAAGGCTTGTCCAAAGGACTAAGCCGGCCAGACTTATCACACATGGTAAAATATAAACATTATGTCATAATAGAGATGGAATCCATCATCAGACCTTTTAAGAAAAACACGCTATGCAAAAATAAAGAGTAAATACTGCAGTCTCTTACCATAAAAACGTAGCTGGGATAACAAATATATAAGAAAAATATCTTTTGGTGCATATTTTGAACCCAAACCTCCCATTTAGAGGTAAAGGGAAATACCACTGAGCTATACATCTGACGGTAGACATATATAAGAAATTACATAAACAATACCTGTTTCTGTTCCTGGCAATGAGAACACCAGAAGGCCCCATACATCTTAGCACCTATAGAATGCAAGTGTTTTGCCAAAGCTATTGTCCAAGGGGTTGATTGTTCAATAATCTCTGTTTCATATGGTTCAAGGATAATGTCACTTGACCTGTGTAGCCTCAAAAGCAAAAGAAAAATAAACATTTGGAAACTTATGTAATCTAAACAAGATGGCTAGAAGTTTTTCATTACTCAGCACACTGTTGCAAATGATTTCTCCAAAAGGAAAAAAATAGGTATAGTGATAAATTGCATGCATGGTAGTTGTAACTTAATATAAAAAGAAAAAATAAAGCACACCATACTAAAATGTGATCAGGTGAAGTAACATAAAGGTATTTAAGTAAATGTATAGCAATTATAGAAGTTCAATACATAACAAATTTGAATACATGAAGTTTGAGGTGGTTAGAATCATAGTAACTCCATTAGACTATGGATTTGAGAAGATACACTCTGATCTTCCATTAGTTCTTCAATGTTAGTCAAAAAGTTTCCAAAGGAAAGAAGAATAAAATGAAAATCTATCCTATGTTAACCGAGTAAGGCACCTTTTATTCATCCTACTTTCTAGAATTCAAAGCTACTTCATAGAATCTGTACCTTCACGTAATGCTTCTAATTACCAAAGCAGTTACAATCAAACAAATGTTAGACTTCTAGAATATTTATTTCTATCTCCAAACAGTGGTTAAGCTAGCTTAACCTCCCTAGTGTCTCAACGATTGGTGTCCTACCACCTCCAGTGTTGTCCAACTTCTTCAGCTGTTAGGCCCCATCAGGGAATTTCTATTCAACCAATGGCTACCTGCCGAGGTCCTCGTCCTCTTGCAACCCACCAACTTCCACAATGACAAGATCATCTTCAAGTCAAAAGGCTTCACTCTTTTGAGACAACATCAAGCGCATCAACCAACCAATGCAGTGATGCTACTCTTTCAAAACAACATCAAGATTATACAAGCTCAAAAAAATGGCTAGAAGTTTTCATTACCAAAAACTCTTGTTGATGTTTTGAGGAGGACATCAGAGATCTACGATTACGATCGTGCCCCACCGGCCAACTTCCCCCACCACCAAGCCATTCAACCCAACCAAATCCCCTCTAAACCGCCGGCAATAACCCCTCTTCCTTTCTCGGCCAAAACCACAACCCCACCGGCCACCCAACACCCAAGCCCTCACCCGCCGGCCCTACTTGCCCCTCCTTCCTTTCTTTCCAAATCTCCTATAAAGAAATAATTGAAGACTTACCAATTTTGATCTTCTTAAATTTGGAATGATTTCAAATTTCAAATTCAAATAAATTTGAATTTGAATCCTTTCCTAAAATAAGAATAATCTAATTTGTACACTTTCCAAATCTCTTCAAATCTGAATTTAATTGGAGATTCCCTTTAATTCTCTTCCCTGATTTAATATCCTATGTTTGGAAAGAATTTTAAATCCCCGATCAATTTCCCCCCATGCATGGCCGGCCCCCTCTATCTATTTAATTCAATCAATTAATTAGATACTTGCCTCTAATCCTCTTTTCGTATTTAACATCCTAAGTTTGGAAAGGGAATTTTAAATTTCCCAATTCAATCAATCCATATTTAACTCCCTAGACTCTCAAAACCAGCCATCTCCAACCTTCTCTCAGCCCCAGCCGCCCCTCCCAGCTCTCTACCATGTGGCCCTCAGTTTTCCCTGATTTTCTGCTTGCTGTCCCCCCTATTCCAGCAAGAATATCTTGCTGTCCAGAATAGATTTCTGCATTCTGGACATATTCTACTTGCTGTCTTGAAGTTTATACACAGTAAACTGCTGTCCATAGCTTGCTGCCCTTCACTCCAGCAAGACTTCCTTTACCGTACCACCACCAGGAAGGCTTCTCACTGCTGTCCCAATCTTAATGTGCTGTTGTTTACACATCTTTACTTGCTGTCCAGAAATTTATGGATGCTAATAGTGGTTGTCCACCCTTCCAAAACCTAGAAAGCTGCTGTCCAAGACCACCTATCTGCTGTTCAAAGACTCCAGCAGCAGTTCGCTGCTGTCCAACCCCTCTGGGAGCTACCGTTGCTGCCCGGAACTATCCAGAATCGCTGTTCCAGGTTGGCTACTTGCTGTCCAGAATTTACCAAGTGTCAAAGTTGCTGTCCAGAAATCGTAGCAATCTCCTATTGCTGTTTCATTGGCTTTAAAGTTCAGATTGCTATCCAACGACATCGACAATAATCAAGGTTGCTTTCTACCTCCGCTCAAGCACATAAACACCACGCCGGAGCTTTGAATGTCTTGTTTATTTGGGTGACTTTCCTCCTACTCTTTTATCTTTTAGTCGCTCTCAATTATAGTTCTAATTGACTCATGGAAAGTTGTGTTAATTCTTCCCGCTAAAGCCTAGTATTTAGTAGGAGTTGTGTAAGAGATCTTTCATAGCACTACTCTTATTGTTAGATTAGGGATTTCTTGTTGAAACTCATTTCGTTTGCAAAGTCAAGAATAATTGATTGTTATGTGGTTTTTACTTTTTGCAAGTGACTTGGCCTAAGTTTTTGTTATCGCTCTTGTGTTTTATTTCATTGTCTAAATCAACATTAAGCTTTAGTTAACTTGCTCTTAATCATCGAGCGTGTAAAATTCCTTATCTAAATGAAAATTTCATGCATGTCCTGCATCATATTTTCTCCAAAATGAAAAGAAAAAGTATAGCGATAAATGTTGTGCATGGTAGTTGTAAATTACTCTAAAAAGAACAAATGAACCACATAATACTAAAATGTGATCACGTGAAGGAACATAAATAAGGTATTAGAAGAACTGTATAGCAATTATTGAAGTCAATATATAACAAACTTCATTACATGACGTTGAGGAGGTGTTGGAATCATAGTAACACTCCATAAGACATTAGACTATGGATTTGAGAAGATATAATCCGATCTTCCATTAGTTCTTCTAAATGTTTAGCACTTCAGACAGTTTCCAAAGGAAAAAATAATAAAATGAAAATCTATCTTGATTTGACCAAGTAAGGCACCTTTTATTTATCTTACTCACTAGAATAGTTCCTAGGATTAGTACCTTCATGTAACATGCTTCTAATTCCCAAAGTAGTTACAATCAATTAAATATTAGACTAATTCTAGAATATTTCCATCTATCTCAAAACAATGATTAAGCTGGCTTAACCTGGCTAATCTCTCAACAATTTCTTCCGCCTCCAGTGCAGTTCAACTTCTTCCTTTGCTAGGCTATAGGGAAATTTCTCTTCAACCTATGGCTACCTACCGAGGTCCTCATCCTCACTTGCCCTCAATCCCCTACTTCATGGCTTTGCCTTCCTTACCCCTTTCATTCCTCCTCTTTCCCCTTCCTCCCACTCACCTCCTAGGGGTAAACTTTGTTCTACCCCCTGAAGAGGTGATGGCACCACCTCCCACTTGCAACCCAACAACCTCCCCGATAACAAGGTCATCTTTAGGTCGAAAGACTTTGCTCTTTTAAGACAATATGAATAGTGTCCTCCTAACTAATGTGATGATGATACTCTATAAAGACAAAATCAAGCTTATACGCCTCACTAATGTGGCGACATCACTCTTATATCTTTTTTAAAAAATCCAAGTTTCAGTTGGATACCTACATGGAAGATAGCGGTGTCAATGGAGTGGTCTCCATTTCTATTGCTTATCATCAATGAAGACTCATGCCTTACAATCAAGCAACTCCATTTAAGTAGGCCGACTTTTCAGCATTATCAACATCACCGCTCAACGATAATGTGACATTACACACAGGTTTTAGAGTGCATTTGAAGAAGGCAAACTTGTGCTAGTAGCAAATGGTGGGAAAACTTTGAATGGGAAAGGCACACATCTTAACATTGCATTCCAGCTCATTATCCACTAATCTTGTACCAGCTCAATAGCGATTGGACCATAGATCTAGACGGGTGCCTACTCCTTCATCTACATCAAGGCTAATTGTGCTAGCTTAGCTCACTTCCTACTGTTATTGAAGGAAAACAAACTTGTGTTAGTATCATATGATGGCAAACCTTAGGATGGGAAAAACAAACATCCCAACATTGCATTCCAATGCACCAACCACTAATCCAAAACCAACTCAATATCCCCTTACCACGTGTAATGGACTGGAACCCAGATCTAGAGTAGTGCCTAATCCTTCATCTACATCAAAACTAGTTGTGTTTGTTTAGCTCACCAATTGTTGTAACTAGGTTGGCTTTCGGGCTGACCACCTTGACTTTACAAATGTTTCTGCAGGCTATTTTTTTTGTAGGCCAAAGCTCTATCGCAAGTCGCTCAATTGTAGACATATAGACGCAAACCACATGCATTCAAACTCCCCTTTGCATATGGCTTGTCGATTTTGGACACATGCTCGACACAACCAATAACATGATGGCTCTTTACCGATGACAATCAAATGGTTGTTGACGAACCACTGCATGGCCTCCTCCAGCCTTTTAAAGCTCTTTGTGACCATTGCATGGCCTCCTCTAGCACCTTTTAAAGTTTTTTGTGACCATTTCCTCTTTTTATTCTTCATAAAGTGCTTCGTCAGAAGTTGAAGCAACAAGGATCAACCAAATTCCCTGATTCATACTGAAAAGTTTATGTTCGTAGTGAGAAAGCTTAAGAACCACCTGGAAGTAGACGTTATAAACATAAATTAAGGCATTATCATCTTCAAATTGTCTTCTTAAGTGAATATCTCAATTTGCTAAGTGGATTTGCATTTCATTGAACTGGTTCACTCATCCTGTCATAACGCTGACTCAGATTTCCCCATTCTTTCAAATCAGCCATAGAATGCAATGAACTTGTGTTAAATTTCCAAACCTCAATCCATAACGTTGGACTAACTTGATATCTCCAAGTTTGCCAGCAGCATTGGTGTCTTCATTTCTATAGAAGAGTTCACTCTAACATGCTCCAAAATCACCTTTGCAATGACGTCATACCTTTCAAACTCAATTTACTTAATCTCAATGATGTAAAAAGATCCTAGCCAGTGACCAACAGCTACAGAAGTGTGTTAAGAACTCTTATATGATATCTTTAGACCTCTCCTCTCACAATCAAGAGTTCAAAACCACCACTTTGTGCCACCTTGCCAGATTCCTCAAGAGAACATTATAGATTTGCCAAGCTACTGAAAAATATATGTATACTTCTTGTAAAGTGAGGAACCCCATAGTTGCTCCATCATTGGCATAAACCAGCACAATCACTTACCCTACCTCTATCAAAAAAAGTATCCTCCTTATGACTCAAAATTTGATGCAACCCCACTATTCCTATCAAGCACTCAATCACTCTCTCCCTCTGAACTACAGCCACCCAAACAACACTCACCACAGCTCTGAAGCCACTTTTTTAATATATAACCTTGGATTGAACTAAAATGATTAAAGGATTACTAACTTTGAATTGAAATATAATTAAATGTCAAGTGAAAGGTCAAAAATGTCTTCAAATAATCGATTTTTATATATTGTGCAGCAAGAACTTTCTACTAGAGATGATGGTGGTATTAATTATCTTTTTAATACCTAGTATGAATCATTCAAAAATGAACCAAATATATTAATGATTTTTTAATAGCAAGTATGAATCATTCAAAAATGAAACAAATAAATCATATTTGACTTGAGTAATCTTTCCAATGCAACCTCAATATTCAAAAAATTGGGCAGGCTAGGCAATAAGATATCAATCCAAACGTTAGAAACATAACATGTTTTTTTTTTTTTCAAGGAGAATGTTTGTGTCAAATAGCTCACCCGAAATATTTAGGCATTGTCATAGTATATGAATTACTTAATGTAGCAAGAATAATAGCAACAATGGCAAACTGCACACCAACCACCTTTTGGATCTCTTCAAAAGCATAATCCTGTTATATAGATCAAGTTGAAAACAAATTATTAAACAAAGGAATGATTTTTATAAGATTAGGATCCCAATGCATACCTTCAAAGTAATAAATAAAAGGCTAAAGGATAGGAAAACTGAAATTAGACAGTATGAACACACTGTCCCTGATAATTTAGTGCCGAGAAGGTACAAGAAATAAGTGCTTGCTGTTGCCATTGAAGTAGTTATCGCCAATAAAAGAAAACGAACATCAATTTCACCAAATCCATACAGTAAATTGCTCCTTGATTGTTGTAGAGAAAGCAATGTAACTAAGCCATACGAAACCATGCCTATAAGTGGAAGTGGAACACCTGGAAAAAAAAAAAAAAGGCATTTGTGAACCTCTATCAAGCATGTCACCTTTGGTATATTATTCTGAAAGCAAAAAAGCTGAGTGTACTGACAAAGAAGAGAAGCTAAACCAGTTAAGTGAAGTTAATTCTTTATGGTACAGGGTGGATGGTAATGCAAATTGCATTAAACAAAAACAAAAGTTTAAAACCCCCATAATTGAATCACATTTTTTTTAAATGAAAGGATCATTAAACTCCAAACAAACAGCTTTACTTCAATAATTCAGTGAATTGTGAAATGACTCAACATTTCATATAAGTTATTCCAACCAAAAACTCACGTCAAAGCATCCCATAATATGCATATGTAACAATAGGATTGGTCATTGTACTAGGCCCGCTGCACTTCTTCATTGTTTAACCTTCCTATATGTGCAAAAAGAACTCTTAGTCACCTAGTCGACAACAGCAATTACTCTAATGACATGAATATCTTCAAAATTTTTGTTGGAATAGAAAACTAGGAACGAAAGTAGCAATATTCTAGAAAGAGCACGATTAATGAACCGTAGGTGTAAGTAGAAAGGCAGATTGAAATTAGTTTAGATGCATATGACAAATTGATCTTCGATTTAAAAGTGCTATGGTTAAAAACTGCAGGAATGCACTGTATCAGGCTCAAATTACAGCTTCTTTGAAAGTATCCGTACAAAGAAAAACTTACTGAAATACAAGAAGACAGGCAACGAATTTTCCAGAAAGAGCATAAAAGGGCAAGGTTACCGAATACGTTTGAATAATCGCTGTTGAGGACATCGTTGCAGCCACCTCCAGCAACAGCGCAGAAAGCATCGGAGTTAAAAAGCTTAATATAGGTAAGGTACGCCGTCTCCATAAACCCTACAGCTCCAAGCCCTGTACACCAACTGGATGTAGACAAACCGAGGAAAAAAGCCTTGTCCGAGGCCCCAGAATCGGAATCCATCTTTGGAGAAGGGCCGCACCAGCACCTTAAGGAAACCACCGATGACCTCTGCTGCAGCCGCAGATGAATGAGAAGTTAAGGCATCTGAGATGCAGTGAACTGCAGTGGAGGATAATAGGGTTACCTTGAAGCGAAGTGGGACCGCAAGAGAACAGCGAATGGGTGGAAGAGAAGGTAGGCGAGAGATGGCTAGAGCGGAGGAGATGCTCATCCTGCCAAGGAACTTACCTTCCGCCGCCGACTGCTAGCGTTGAAACTGGAGGTTCGCTGGCGAACAGCTATCGCTTTAGAACTGCTATGGTTGGGCTGGTTTTTGGCGCTGCGAAGAAGCAGACTGGGGATTTACATAAATAACACTTTACTTAATGCTATTTATATATCAAATACTTAAAATTTTAATATTACATGCATATTACATATCACTCATAATTCACTTTCATATTAAATATAAATGATATGAATGAAATATATAAGCCAAAGAATAAAAAATGGTTGACATACTAAAATAATATAAAAAGTATGTATGTAATATTAAAGTTTTAAGCATTAGATATATAAATAGGATGATATAGAATGATATGTATGTAAATCTCTCAAAATTTAATTGTTACTTTGACACATAATCTAACTAGTATTATATGTTTTATTTATAATGAAAGTTATAGAGTGTATGTAATATAATACATCATTTATTTGACTTCAAAGAAATATCTTTATTAAAGTTATATATGATCATATATCATTATACAGGAATTGGTTATATTAATATTTTTTAACTAAAAATATTTATTAAAATCCAAAAAGAGTGCACAAAGCAAATGAGCAAAAAGACAGGAAAACAAAAGAAAGTACAATGAAGATTCAAGCCTAAGGGTTCAAATGGCCGAGGCTTCCAGCTTCCCCGAAGCCAAGTGCAGACCATCCAATTTGGTGAATAGAAATGCAAAGTAGCCAAACCATCCAAGTAAGAGACCACCACCAAAGGTTGCCACGAGCCAAGCCGACTGAGAAGCGAGCCCCAACCACATCATTGTCCGGCAAAAACCAACCGCCAACAGTAAAATTAATCAGATACCAATGAGCCAGCCCAGTGTAACTTCCAGCAAAAAAATAAACAAAGGGCCTACATGCCCAGCCTAAAAGATCAACCCCATAAGACGAACAGAGAAGGCGACCAACAAGTGAAACATGAAGGAAACAAGGCAACGAGTCCTCTCACGAGAGGCGATAGAAACAATCGGTTTGTCACGCTGCAAGGTAAAATCATGCCAAGGATCATCACCCCCAAAAGATTCTGAAAAGGAATCGGAATCGGATGAGCAGTGAAGCCAATCGAGATATACCCTTACATCCACCCCATAATTATCTCCCACATTATACACTAAAGTGTAAGGGTCAATAAGATTAACTAGCACATTAATAAAGGAGTTAGGGACAATACTAGCATGCATATAACAGGAGAGGAGACAGAGGGTACACTTAGCGACCGAAAAAGAGGAGGTAGGAACAACTACAGTAGCATAACCCTCACTCACCACACCTGAAGGTTTATCCGTGCAAACCCCACCTAAAAAAAATAGGGGCAGGAACAGGCCCATCCGCGTAATCCCCAACCGCATAAGGCATTGATTTACTAGACAAGAGACACGGTGCAGACACAGCACCCACCTCCGATAACACGGGACCAGAATTTAAGGCACAACCCAAATGACCCAACACTAGTACAAGCCAGAGGGATCGAAATAGAATGTAATACCCCAGCCACAACACCCTTACAAACCTTCACCGAGGATTCATCGGCACCAGAATCAATAGGAACAGCAATGTCCACAGCAATCACAACTCCATTCACCGGTAGCTGAGCACCCTCCAAAGCAACATGGGCCACTCCCTCCAAACCCACACCAGGATTCACTAAATTAATAAGACTAACCTCCTCACAGTCCACATCATCCACAACTTTAGCAGGAGAAACCAAATCAGAAGAAACAAAAGCTGGGGCATTAGATAACACAGGTACATCAATCACAGGAGTTTCAAAACACACAGCCGGAACCACAGAATTGGAATGGTTAACCACACGATCAACAACACCCAACGAAATAGAAGGATTCGACACAATAGCAGAGTCAAGATTAGGATGAAGAATCATACACCCCGCCTTAGAATGACCCAAAGCAAGACAATGAGAACATTATTCCGAAAAATCTTCAAAAATCACATATTGCACATAGCAATTACTATCCAAACCAACCCAAATTTTGTCCTGATACTATTTGGACACATCCAATTCAATCAAAACTCACGCAACTGATGGACGAGAACCAGTGTTAGTAGCATTATCGATTTTTAATGGTTTGCCAAAAATTAATCTTAAAACATGCAAAATACGCGGGCAAACAAGTGAGGCCAGAGGTTAGGAAAGGAGATCCAGATAGGTATAACAGGAGATTCGATCTCAATGTCCAAGAGAGGAGTCCATTTAACCAGTTTCATATAACAACTACTCATGAAATACGATCTATGAGCAAAAGCCCTACAATAATCCAAGTCATTGAATAGCTTAATCAAAACATTCTGCTAATTCAAAACAGTAACCAAGACTTCACCATTTAACTTAAGCTTAAAAAAGAAACTCCTAATAGCATCAAGGGAAGGTCTACGCCCAAGGAATTTACCGACCAGATCATATTCAAAAGGGGCTGCCAAAGACTGGATTTTCTCTTCGGAAATCCACAGAGAAGGTAAGCCTCTATGCGAAGAGACTCTCAATTCAGGAAAAAGACGCGGAAGAAGGTGGGGATCCGAATAGAGCATCCTTAAAAGACAAAGACAATGATCCAACCAAAAAAATCGGGATCACAAAAATGAGAAGGCATCATAACACCAGAAAAAGGAAAAACAAAAGGAGAAGAATAAGAACTTCCTTGAGAGTCGAAGAGAAGGATCGAGCACGGAGAGGCCGAAAAAGGCGGCTAGGACGAAGCCCTAGCCCCCCCCCCCCCCCGAAAAGCGAGAGAGGAGCAAATGAATTTTGTGGCTATATTAAATTTTATTTTACCACAGTGTTGATCTTTAGGTACATAACATATACACAATATCATTCATTTAAAACCATACCAAATAGTGCATATTTAATAATTTTTATTTATTCATTGAGTTGTATAAATCATGTACATTTACTTATGTTTTGCAATTATTGTAATTACACAATGATATATCAAGTTTATAATATATATTGTGATTGCACTATATTACATCAAATTTACAATATATTGTGTCATAATTGTCATGATTACAATTTGATATGTCACACTTATAATGTGTTACATCATACATTTTCTGATATCACTAACTATATCAATCTCATAGCTTGATTTATTATTGATTTGGTGTTGCACTTATAAATTGTTATGGTTGTGCTTTCTTATCATGCTCAGGCTTCATTTGGAACAGCTTTCATACTGTTTAAAATAGGTTTCTAGTAAAAATAGATAAATTTTGTATTAAAAAATTACTTTAAGAAGCACTAAGAAAGCCGCCCCAAACGAAACCTTATGGTTTGAAATATTATACATGTTAATATTGCACTATGTTGCATAAAAATTATTGTATGCTGTGATATTGCTTGTTCAAATCATATTTAGGGCCTTATATCATTATTCAAACATTTATAAATATTGTTTGAATGTTGTTAGAAACTTTTTGACTCTTATTCGAATCAAATTTATTCTAGATGAACTTCAATGTCAAATATCAATTCATGAATATATGATGAGTAATTAGTTCGGAAGAAGTTTTTGACATTTTTGATAAGAAAATAAGTATGAGAGATATTTAATTATATATATATATATATATATATATATATAGTCTTTTAAATCAGTTTTTTTTTACAAAAATTTTTGAATTAAAATTTTTAATACTAGAAAACTATTTTAAAAATCAATAAACAAATTGTCCCAAATAAAAGTTTAATAAAACAAAATTATGATTATGCTATGAAAAACAAAATAGTCACAAAGCTAGCCAAAACAAGCTCTTAACAACAAAATTTTTTTGGGAACATTTATGTCAATTAAGGAAAATTCATACATGCAATATATAAAAATTTAAACCTAAGACCTCTTGATTGTTAATCAAAACTATCAATCAATAAATTAAGATGAGCTATGTAATGATTAGAGTTGAAGCGTCCAATGTTCTAACCACTAGGATATATAATGTGAATTGCATAAAAGCCCAGCCGTCATGGGCGAGTTTTTATGCACGTTAGAAATGTTGTGGAAGCAATCATAATTATATCATCGGAGTCAAAGAAGTCATAAAATTGAGCAATTTATTATTGAGAATTTTAAAAACATGCAAAACTCTTTTATCAATCATATTCGATCTATGCTCGTTATAAATCGTGAGAGATACAACTTATTAATGGGTGCTTTCTAAGAATGCTTTGATTTGATTCCCAACCTTCTCCTACTAGAAACCAAAACGTTCAACGAAATCAAACAACAAAATTAATCGAATTTTCTGGTTCATTCGATTTTAATTTTTTTATTTTAATTATATTAAATTGGCTTCATTTTATACGATTTAAATATCTTATTTATTTATTCTAGAAGTAATAAATACTAAACATAAATTTAATATAGAGGGAATATAAACAAAAAAATTTTAATAATAAAATTCAGTATCATAAGTTCATAACCAACTAAACGCCCACACCTATCTATTATTTTTTACCAACTAAGCTTTATTTAATAATATAAAACATAATTTTAAGCATATTTCACGCACTTAAATCATCTCCAATTGAACTGCATACCACCGTATGCCGTCCGTCATTCGATGCATTCGAACTCCAAATCTCATGCCAAAATTCAGTAGGTGAACAGTACGTCGTCAATACAGGCACGCCAAAAAATTGAGTTGTGGAATTCGCCAAAGAAGATCCCGAAAGAGGAGAAAAATGTCCGAAAGAGCAGAGAGATGGATACCTTCGCAGGAAGAGCGCGAAAGAAGAAAGAAATGCAATTCGATTGGAGATGTATTACGGCGTTTAGAAGTTTTACTGCATTTTAAAGTGGATAATATATTTTTCGGTTGGAGATGGCCTAATAAACTCAATAAAATATATAAAAATGTTAACTAAACGAAGCAGTTGTTAAACAAACAATATAGTTGAAAACATGCCACATTCCCTTAGTAGAAAGCGTTCTTATCCAATCACATACAACAAAGCAGCCAGCAAAAGAAAATTCTTAAGAAGAAAAAAAAAATCAAACTTTCTCTCTTTATTTCGCTCATAATCACCGGAGCACAAATACATAAAATATAAAACCACCAAAGAACCTGTTACATAAAATATAAAATCTCATTCTCAAGCCATAGGCGGCGGTTGCTTCGCAATCTGAATAACCTTTTCCCACGACTCCCGCTTCGAAACGTCCTTCCACCAACGGCTAACATTGCCATGCCGTTCGAACAGATTCCGCGTCTCGTCAATCCTCATAAGCTGCTCAGTATTAGGAAGGTGGAAGAGGTCGGCGAGAGTGAACTTGCTCCCGGTCAAGAACTGATTGTCGGCGAGTCTATGGTCGTAGACTTCGAGTACTTTCTCCAGCTTCTTCTTGCTCTCTTCGATCGCCGAAGTCGGAGGGAGCTCGGGTTCCGGCAAACTCGGGGCGACGGCGAGGAAGAAGACTAGTTCGGAGCTCGGCGGATCGAACTTGTGAGACTCTGTTTCAAGCCACTGCTCGATTAGGGCTCTTTCGAGGACGCCTTCTCCCATGAGGTCTTTGTTCCCCTGGTTTTTGAACTTGTCGACAATGTGGCGGCAGATTGCCCGTGATTCTGCTCGGTTGCGCGTAATTAAAAATTTATATACAGGTGAATATATGGACAAAATTAGAGAAAGAGAGAATTTTGACTAGGGGTGTCAATATTTGACACGACCCAAAAATCCGACTCGAATCCGACCCAAAAATTTTGGGTTAGGGTCAACCAGAACCCGAAACGGTCGGGTTCAGGTTCAACATTTCGACCTGTTTCAAAAATCGGTCGGGTTCAGGTTAACCCTTTGACCTGAAAGTGACCCGTTTTGACCCGACAATCCGATTTTGACCCGACAACTCGAGATTGACCCATTTGACCCAAAAATTAGTAATTTTTTTTGTTGGGAACGGGTCATTCGGGTCGTGTCGGTTTGACCTGGACCCGAAGCGGGTCGGGTTCGTGTCCGGAAAACCGACCCGTTTTTAAAAACGGGTAATATTCGGGTTGACCTAAATAGTGCCGTGTCAGTTTTGGGTTAGACCCGAATCCGACCCGTGATCCGAAATTGACACCCCTATTTTGACATATATCATTAAATTACTATGCATTTATGCATCTAATATTTATTTATATACTATTTTAATCTTTGTATGATATCAAAATAATAATATTATTAATTTATTTAAAATTATATATTTATATATAATATATTAGAATGTTATATCATTAATTAAAAAAAATTTAAGAAGTACACATGTAAATACATAATAAGTATGCAATTGCCAATTATTCAAATATAATACAATTTTAATGCAGTAAATCAACGTTTCTAACAGAATTGTTCAATATTCTTAATTATCAATGTAATTTTCTATATATTTTTAGCACATTTAGGTCAATTAAGACAAATTCATACATATATCACAAACGTAATGTTCAAATCCAAAACCTCTCCTTTGGCGTCTTGGTTGTTCAGATACTATTCCTCCCCTTGGAAACCTCCCCACTCCAAAGCCTCTAAATTTTGGAAATCCATTTGTAGCACAGCTGTTACTTCCAAAGAAATATGGAAATTCAAAGTTACTCCCAACTCCCCCTTTTCTTTTATCTGGGATAGCTGGTGTAATTCTATTAGCCTGGTGGATTTAAATCCGGAATATGCTAACTATGAGGACCTTAATGTGAGCAATTTCATTTCTTCTGATGGCTGCTGGAACATTCCAATTAATTTACCTACTATGGTATCTAATGCTATTCTCAGTGTTAGTATTCTGGATAATAACTCTGAATGCCTATCTTTGGCAAATAAAGCTAAAGCAAATTTTAAAGGTTTTATCACTGACTTCTACAATTCTTTCCCGGACTGCAACTGGGAGGAATACATTTGGCATTCAAAACACTCGCTGAGATACTCTATTTACGCCTGGCTTTCTTTGGTTGGGGGCCTTAAAACGGCTATGGAACTTCAACGTAGAAACATTGTGGTGGATCTGACTTGCTCTTTATGCTTTAATCACATAGAGAGCACTAACCACCTGTTTTTTGACTGTAATTACAGCCACTTCATCATTACTGATCTCATCCCGGAATCAGCCAATATTCTTCTTAGACCCAACTTGATGCAAATTTTTGATTGGGTAAATGAAAACCAAAACTTCTCTCCCCAAACCAAAAGGCTTTATTTCATTACTATTTGTTGCACAGTTTACCATGTTTGGAGAGAAAGAAATGAGAGAAAATTTGCTTTAGCTGCTTCTAGCACTACCACTATCTTGATTAAGATCAAGAAAGCTATTCTTTGCAAGGTCTCCAAATGGTGTGATGGAGACCTGTTGAGAAATTTAGCTGTATAGTTTCATCTGCTGTAGGTGGGTCCTGGGCTTCATTTGCTCTGAAATTGATTACATCATCATATGAATTATGGGGCTCATCTGTTTTGGTCGCGAGATAATTGATGTTGTTTGTTGTTGCTGCTTCGGTAGCTGCCTGATTGAACTTCTAGGAGACTTCAAATCTGACTCCACCCGTTATCATTTTGATCACCTGGACGATGATGAAGCTCCTATATGCTTCCCTTGGACGGCCTTAAGGCAACCAGGGAACTGCCCGGTCGCTAGAACTTGCTATGAATCCATTTTTCTGAGTCCAGGTTTTCATGACCTGGGAGTATCTTTAAGGCCGGGTTCAGCCTTTTCTGAGACAATTTTGTTTTTTACTCTCGGCAGGTTTATTTCACCTCTTCTGTGGAATAGGTTTCTTTTGCTTTTCAGCAAATCTAGCTGTTAGTCTTATTGTGGTATAGGTTTTCTTTTTTTATGCTTTTCAGCAGCTCAAGCTGTTAGTATTTCTCAGTTTTTTGGCTTTCTTTTTATTCTGCGGCTATGGCTGTTAGTTTCTGTTGAATCTACTGGTTGGTTGTGGTAGATGTCAACATTTCTTTTGTACTCTTATTTCATGCTGGAATAAAATGGGCTCATGCCCCTAATTTTCCAAAAAAAAAAAAAAAAAAAAAAAAAAAAAAAATAATCCAAAACCTCTTAGTTGATAGGCAAAACTCTCAACCAACATATCAAGATTAATTACGTGTTATGTTCTATGTCATTTGGGGTTTAGATATCCTCAGGGTTTCTCACCAGTAAGAGCAAATTTGTCGTCCTGGTAGGAAAGTGCTTCGCCCCTAAGCTGAAATCAATAAGAGAGAAAAAAATTATGTCAGATAATTATAAATAAAATGTAAAAATTTTCAATTTATATTCATAATTAAGAATATTATATACCTCATTAATTAATCTTATATATAAGATGTTTCTGATTCATCTTAATATAATTTATATAAAAATATTATATCAGATAATCAGAATATCCTCATATAAAACCTTTCAAGCTGGCATACTAAATATTTTGGGCCTGCTAAAATCCCACCGACCATTAAGGATGAATAGTATGGGCCAGCTAAAATCTAATGGTATTTATTGAAATTAGATGGAAGATAATTTTATTTTTGCAAACACAGACTAATGATAATATAAAAAATGTAAAAAAAAAGCAAATAAAATTATAATTACTATCTAAAAAAACAAAGCAATGAAAAAGCACTCCCAAACACGAAAAATTATTATGTGGTTTGGAGACCAATAAGAACGAGCCACACAACTTTTTGATCGGTACAGTGCGTCGGTACGCTTGTACCCGGTGACCTGGCATGCTCTGATTAGCTCCGGACCGTCCGGTGTCCGCACAGAATAATTTCTCCTCAAGCACACCCTTAATAACGATATTAAAATTTAGCTTTATTTTAGTATTAATAATAACATAATTAATATTAAGATAATTTAATATAGCTATAAATATTCATTTTATTTATACTAATTATAAATAATATTTGACGACTGGCACAATTAAAACCAATGTTATCAAAATTTTTGTAAGATTAAATTTTAAGGTCATTGAATTTAATTTATAAGATGAATTAAAAATATAAATTATTAATACAATAATATGTTAAAAGTCTTTGATTTTTTTTTAAATATATTTTGTGGAAAATAACCTGGCAATTTTGAGGAACTCGGAAGCCTCTTTGCGTCCCTGGAGCCTGTCCATCTTGACTAAACTGGAAGTCCACCTCTTTCTCGAATAGACACAGAAAACTCTTGTACCTTCCATTGACGCCGCAGCGAACACTTGGAACGCTCGCGCATTTCTTCTCTGCTGTTCTCTCGCAGCTCTCGCTCTCTTCGCTCTTCTTCTAACGCCGGTAAGTTGAGAGGCGTGTGGCGAGGACGGATTTTTTATAGCCAGTGGTGGTAATTAGGAAATTCTTTGCTTGCCAATAAGAAAACCAAAACGTTAAATAAAAAGAAAATTAAATTTTAAATATAAAATATTATAAATTCAGTGCTGATGAATGGGCTTTTCTTCTTTTCGCGTTGGTTTGAGTAGCTTCCCTGTCTATACTTAATAAAATAAATTTTGCTTTTGATGAATAAGGGAGAAATAAGACATTAAAGGAAAAAAAAAAATTCTTTGATGATAAATATTAATAATTTATACTTTAAAATTAATAAATTATATATAATTATTAAATTTTTACGGGACAAAGCAGATTCTAAAAGCAGTGTTGGTACTGGCTTATATCTGGAAAACTAAGAATTGTCATATCTCAAGATTAGAACAAATGCTTTGGGTCTACATCGATGATTTTTAAAAAAAATTAAGAAAAGGAAAGGTAGCGTGGGGGGCATTAATCTTACAAAAAATTTTAATCTTACATAATTCAAACATATCTCACATTTGTGTCATTATTGAATGGTCAAGCTTAAATAATTCAATCTAGAATTAAACATGCCCAAAATTTTTGTGTCAATAAGAGTCCTCTTTTTATTTTTGTTTTCATATCATATTTAGGATAAATTTTTAAAATGATGTTTGTAATTAATTATTTTGAAGAAAAAAAAATGATGATAGTTGTTTCGTAACCTAACAACTAGTTTTGACGGGGCAAATTCAAGTGGTAGAGGATCTTATAGGTTTGGAGTTTGAGTTCGGGCCACTCTGCCTTAAATCCGACCAACCCGAATACACTGCCAGTTTAATTACGCACAAGTTCATTCAAGCCCAGCTAGTCATGGGCAGGGTTACCCTCCGCTTGACGGATTTACTAAACAATTGACATCATTTCTTAAGTTTTTATCTTTGGGTTTTGTTTCCTCAGCCAAATAATTAGTAACAAACATTCTTTTTAAAATTTGCACATCATGTTTATTAAATGTATGATATTTTTTATTCATATTTTAATCCTTAACTATCATATTGTTTTATAACATTATGATCTTAGAATTTTATAACTCATTGCATGATTTATTTAAGTTGTATAATTATTATATAATTTTTTAATTTTAAAATATAAATTATAATATAATGTCAAAAGCATAGTGGTGTCCTATATTTTTGATAATAGATGTATTTTTTATTCATATTGTGTTGTGTTAGCATCTTATGTCCATATCTACATATCATACGATGTAGACTAAGATAATAAGAAAATAAATGAAATTTTACAAGAGAGAAACTTGAGATTAATGAAAGAAAAATAGATAAGATCTAACAACAACAGTCATCTCTGCATTTGCAGCCACTTCTTCTGCTAATACAAAGCTGCCACACCCTGAGCACAAAACTGTAAAATTTGTTAGAATAACCAAATCATGTATTACTTAATTCTCTTCTTGTTCTCCAATTACTGGTGTACACGTGTAATGCCTAGCCTCAGCTAGTATATATAATTAGTAGCTCTGTATTGACAGCAACAAGATAGGAAATAAAGTGCTCTTTCACTGTTTCTTCTTCACCGTTCCTTCTCTGTTTTCTACTCAAGAATTGAGTATGAGTTTCTACAAAATTAAAGACCTCATTGATGAAATGATGTATCTTCGGTGTCGATCGCCGTCGACAACTCATCTTTTTCAGCGTCGAACGTCGTCGACAACTCATTTTCTTCGCGTCAATCATGGTCGACAACCTATCTTCTTCAGCTTCGATTGTCGTCGACAACCAACCTTCTTCTGCAGTCCACTATTCTCTACGAGCTCTAGGCTCTAATACAACTAATGCAATGGATGGGTGGAAGAAAAAGAAGATTTGCTAAATGAACAAATCAAAGAACAAAAGGGAATAAATAACCCAAACAACTCTAAAAGAGAATGTGTATTTTTCTTTATCTCACTTTACAATATTGTTTGTATATATATAATATAATGGCAATAGAATCTTTTAAAAAGCCAAAAGATAAAGCAGACCTATCCTCTCTTATAACTATGATGTTCCTCATCACTAGTGAGCTCCATCACACGCCTCACAAACTTCTGTGATGCCTTCCCCATCATAGGCGAACCATGTTCTTATTCAAATATTATTAAAATCAAATTTCACCCATGTTCGAACTGAGATACGAATAATGCTCGGACCATTGGAACAAAGTTCAAATTCTAACTAGTTTGAATCACTCTGAAAGATTTAAGTTTTGTTAGGAACATCTGTCCTACAGTTTTCTAAAATAATTTTTTAGTAAAAAATTTTTGTTCGGAAAAATTGTTTTAAAAAGCAAAAATAAAACCATTCCAAACAAACCTTTGAGTCCAAAGAACAGTGCAAATATAAGAGAAAATCTCATATTGTAGGTTATTTTGTTCAAAATTAACTTTGAGATTGATCTCATTAAAAAACCAACGGTTGAGGTGTTTGACTAATTGAGCATATTATGAGGCAAATTTCAGTCATATTTCCTGAATGTTATATTAAATCAAATATTCAGTTAACTAAACGGACACATTGCAATTTGAATTATACTGTTAATAGCTGCCAAAAGGAACAGGTTTGATTTGCTTGCCATATCCTACACGTTGATAACTTGTAGACCAGCCAAGCAATGAACATGGATGAATGCGCACATTGAATTCCATCACCAGACTAACAACTTACACATCAAAAGTGAGAATCAGGGCAATGGATTAAGGAAGAACCAAAACACAAAAGCAAAAATCTTCCAAATTGTTCTTAGAAGTTAGATCAAAGGCCAGAAACTCGCAAAAAAAAAAAAAACCATCAAGAAACAGGGGCGCTCTGCATCTCAACAACCTTCTTCCAGGAAGGTCGCGACGAGATCTCCTCCCACCACCTCCCCACATTCTTCCTGGACTTGATGAGATTTTCTCGATCGGCCAGGTGATGCCCATTGGGGAGATGAGAGAGATCGGCAAGGGTGAACTCATCGCCGGCGAGAAACCTGCTCTCTCCAAGTCGCTGTTCGTAAACATCGAGCACCTTCGCAAGCTTCCTTTCGTTCGCCTCGATCACCTTCGAGTCCTGCTTCACGCCCATGCGAGGGGCAAAGGCGAGCTGAAAAACAAGCACCGAGCTCGGCGGCTCGAAGTTCTGTGACTCTGCTTCCAGCCACTGATCAACCCAAGCCCGATCCAGTAAGCCACGGCCGTGAAGCCCCTTGTAACCCTGGTCGGCATACTTGTCGCAGATGTATCGGCATATGGCTCGAGACTCTGCAGTTTGTGTTTGAGGAAATGCCTGAGAAAAAAGGGGGAAGAGAAAAAGGATGGAATGGGGGGAGATTACTGACCGAAGAGGCTTGTGTTTTCGTCTTTGAAGGCGGGGACTTTGCCGAATGGCTGTGACATATAGCGAGGGTTAGTTCTTTAGAGGTAGAAAGGGAAGGTGGGAGGCAGAGAGAGAACCTGGAGCTTGAGGAAGTCGGGGGATCTGTGCTGGCCTTTTGCCATGTCGACGGCGGCGAGCTGGAAGGGAACGTCTTTCTCGAGAAGGCAGGCAAGGACTCTCGAAACCGCCGTTGAGATCGGAGGACCGTACACCGTGACCGTGGCCATCTTCTCCGGAAGAAGGGAAAGGTTTTTCGTTCGGTGACGATCGAGCTTAGGGGTTAGTGTTGAGGCTGAGCAGGTTGTTTGGCAAATGAAGAAGAGATTAATGAAGAGCAAATTGGTTGCCTTTATTTGTGGATTAAAATGAGGAACAAAGACCGGATTTTGAAGAACAAAACTCATAATTTTGATTAAGTATTTAAAAATAATATGAAACGCAATGTAGCCGTAGAATATTTACTTTTACCTTGCCGACAGTGGCAGATGGCACAAGGATAAGAAAATTATTGTGCTACACTTTGTTGCCTTTAGTTTCAAGTTGATTGTATAGACTTTTTTTTTATAATATCAAAATATTTATATTTACTTATTTAGGATAGGTTCACTCATACATAAATAGAATTTACTTGATTAAGAATGATATAATTTAATTCGTATCATTGACGTGACTGCTTAAATTGAAAGTTGATAAAATAGGATAATAAGAAAAGCTTTCATTTGACGCAGCTCAACTTTTGTCTCTTAGTTGAGAGTTTTGAGCTTAATATTACTTCTTAAATCATTTTGATTTGTACAAATTGATTTAAGAAGTAGTAAAAAAATACTTTCATTTTGGCTTTTTTGTGATTGGATTCTTCTCCTCAAAACATTCAATTTGATTGAAATTAGAGTTTGGATGATTCTAAATTTTATTTAGAAGTTCCTAATTCATAGTTGCATCGAAATTCATGCCCAACCAAGACAAGTTTTTAACGACAACAATGTGTAAATTAAATGTATGTTTTTTTAATTAACTATATGTTTGAAATAACTGTAAATTAAAGATCTGTTTGAAATAAATTTCATATTGTTTTACTTATTAGAATATTATTTAAGTTTCTATTTGACTATTATTATGTTGTTATTTTTAATAAATTTCTTTTCTAAAAAGTCACTTTTTATAATTACCTTTAAAATTTTTTTAAGCAATAATTTTACAACCAACTCTCTCTCTCTCTCTCTCTCTCTATATCTCAAATATATCATAAGTGAACCAAATATAAAATTTAACTTCCTTTCATCATTCAAATATTTTGTTCTATCAAATGATGATCAATCATAAATATATTTGAGAGAATGAATATTTTTATTTTGAAGAGACATCTATTTGAGCCGAATTTATTACAATTGCAAGGAGATGTGCAGGTACAGGCTTCATTTGGGGCAGCTTATCTTAATGCTTTCTAAACAAACTTTTTAGTACAAAAAGTATTAGTTCAAAGAATTTTTTTTACTAGAAATAGCTTTAGAAAAAAATAAAAAAATCATCCCAAACAAATCTTTAATCTATTTCATTTGGTGATCAGTCTTTCAAAGAGACTGTGGCATCGTGCAATGTGATTCAACAAAGAACACAATTTGAAAAAAAATGACATTCCAAGTGTTTCAACAAAGACGCAGTTTATTGTTTAGCATTTTTTTATGTGTACATTTTAATCAATTAAAATAAACTCACACACATATCACACACTCAAGTTTTAAATAAAAAACCTCTTGGTTTATAACCAACATTCCAAACCAACATATCAAAATGAGCTACGCCTAATATCCATTTCGAAGTCAACATTTTGTCGGCTTAAAAATGCAGCACAATTAACATTGAAGAAAATTCCTTCAGCATAACTGTAAGCATTTGCTCAGGTTCAAGCTAAGCTAACTAATGCGTTTGCTTAATTAATTCCAAGCAGTAGATCGAAATAACTTATTGCTTCCATGATAACTTGTTTGATAATGAAACTAAGAAACTTGGATGTTGACTTGTATGCACTAAAAGCAAAATAATTTATTAAGTTTTATGCGTTTGTTTTCTCGTAAAAAATTCATGTTGGCAGTGGGAGGAAACGGTTGAAATGCTATAGTTACGCTAATTATTAGAAATAATAAAAAAAAATTGCTGATAGACAGTAGTGGTTAATGCAAATTAGTTTTAGTTGTGAAGATAAATTTTAAAGCAGCGGTGAGGAAGAAGGAAGAAGGTAACAGAACAGAGAGTAGAAATCGAAATAGGAAAAAGGGAAAAAGACTTGATTACCAAAGATGCGGTACAGAATCCTTTAAATAGGAAATACATGGTATTAATGTAAATATGAATAATCTGTTCGCTTATAGTCTCCCTCAAATTAATCATTCTGATCTTGAATGGTTAATTTGCGACGAAGTTCTTGAAAGCGAGCAGGAGAAAAAGACTTAGTAAAAATGTCTGAAATGTTGTCGGAAGAGGCAATGTAGCTAAGCTGTATGGCACCGGAGTTGAGATGTTGCCGAATGAAGTGGTAGTCTATCTCGATGTGTTTGGTTCGGGCATGGAAAACTGGATTTTTAGCAAGAGCCATGGCAGAGATATTGTCACAATGAATGGTAGTCGGCTGCTGTTGGGGAATGCCAACTTCGTCCAGAAGGCGCCGGATCCAAAGGACATCGGAGGTGGCAAGCGGAGAGTGCTCGATACTCTGCTTCGGTGGAAGACTTGGCAACCGTTACTTGCTTCTTGACAGTCCACGAAATGAGTGTAGATCCCAAAAACGTGCAGTAACCCGAGATAGACTTGCGATCAGTTGTGTCCGAGGCCCAGTCAGCATCTGTGTAAGTGCGGAGTGATAGATCTCCGATTTGGATGGGAAGGCCATAAGTGAGGGTACCTTTTAGGTACCAGAGAAGGCGTTTGAGGGCTTGGAGATCAGAATTTGTTGGTTGATGCATGTGTTGACAAATTTGGTTTGTGGCAAACGCAATATCGGGGCGAGTTATAGAGAGGTATTGTAAAGATCCGGCTATGCGTCGATAGGTAGCAGGATCGGGAAGAAGTTGGAGATCCGGAGGTTGTTGTTTGGATTTGATTATGCTCGGCGTGGGGGCTGGCTTGCAGTCCGTGAAATTGAACTCCTTAAGAATTTTCTCTGCATAGTGGTGCTGAGTAAGGAAGAAGCCTTCAGGAGTCCGAATGGTCTGTATGCCAAGAAATAATGCTATGTCTCCCAGTTGCTTTAATGCGAAGGTGGTGCGAAGGTCCTTGAGTAGAGCTTGTATGGCTTGACAATCATTTCCTGTTACAAGAATGTCGTCGACATAAATGAGAAAGAAGATTTGAATGTTTTGAATGGTAAGGATAAGAAGTGAGGGATCGGAACGACTAAACCTGAATCCTCTTGCGAGAAGAAATTGAGTTAGTTTTTCAAACCATTGGCGTGGAGCTTGTTTGAGACCATAGAGCGATTTCTGTAGTTTGCAGACCGCGGTTGGAGAGATTGTATCGGCGAATCCTGGTGGCTGCCGCATATAAACGTCCTCGTGTAGATCACCATGTAGGAAAGCGTTGGAAATGTCGAGCTGCAGAATGCTCCATTTTCGGTGAACAGCTAAAGTGAGTAATATTCTGATGGTTGTCATTTTAGCGACCGGGCTAAAGGTCTCGGTGTAGTTGATTCCCAGTTGTTGATCATATCCGAGAGCCACAAGGCGTGCTTTGTAGCGATCGAGCTTGCCATCAGGAAGAGTTTTGATTTTATAGGTCCATTTGCAACCTAGTATAGGTTTGTCGTTCGGAGGGGGTACAAGTATCCACGTTTGCTGTTTTTGTAGTGCTTCAAATTCTTCTTGCATGGCTTTCTGCCAGTGAGGCTGCATCATGGCTTGTTTGAAAGTTTTCGGTGTATCCTGCATAGAAGTGTTGCTCACAAGAGAAAATATTTGTTTTGGTTTAGAAATTCCAGATTTCAAACGAGTTGTCATGGGATGCGATGGTCGATGCGGAGGCGGAGCGATAGGAGCTGGTGAGGCAGTCTCAGGAGCAAGAGAATTGTGTTGATCGTTTTGAGATGTAGTGGTAGAAATGGGTATTTGGTTAGGTACAGTAGGTAAAGTAGTATCTGGCTTGTGGGATTGAATGGGAATTGTAGAAGTAGGAGTTAAGAGATAAGGAGAAATGGGGATCGGAGGCACAGAAGGATCAGAGTTAGATTTAGGTGGTTCTGTCTTGTAAGGAAAAATATCTTCATGAAAAACAACATGCCGCGATATGTGAATTTTGTGCGTTTTTTAAGTTGTAACATTTATAGCCTTTGTGAGAAGTAGAATAGCCAAGAAACACGCATTCTTGAGATCGCGGATCAAGTTTAGTGGAGGTGTATGGGCGCAGCCAAGGAAAGCAGAGACAACCGAAAGTGCGAAGGAAAGTGTAGTTTGGTGGTCGCTTGTGAAGCCGTTGAAAGGGAGTATGAAAATTTATGGATTTGGAGGGAAGCCGGTTAATTAGATAGTTGGCAGTGGATAAAGCTTCCGCCCAAAACATGTGAGGAGTGTTAGAGGCGTGAATGAGAGTGCGAGTGAGCTCGAGGAGGTGGCGATGCTTGCGTTCGGCCACCCCATTTTGGTGGCCGGAGGGTGGTTGTGAGGGATTTGTGTGTGTGCTTGTCGATTCTTGATCAGCCATTTATGGCTCTGATACCATGAAAGCAGCGGTGAGGAAGAAGGAAGAAGGTAACATAACAGAGAGTAGAAACCGAAATAGGAAAAAGGGAAAAAGACTTGATTACCAGAGATGCGGTACATAATCCTTTAAATAGGAAATACATGGTATTAATGTAAATATGAATAATCTGTTCGCTTATAAAATTTTCACCCCATCATCTTTTGCTCATTACCGTGACTTGATATTGCTTGTTACCGCGGGTCGATAATGTTCAATATCAAATGACGTGACTGCAAAAAATTTGCCTCTGAAAGATAACTAGAGACAAGATGGTTGACAGAATCTTTTACTCAGTTGAATCCCCAAAAAAAAAAAAAAAAAATTTAATGTCAATTTTAATTAATAATTTCCTGGACCACTGGTTCTCTCCTTTTCCACTATAAATCCATATCCTGGAAATTGAAGCGACGTGGCATCCTCAGTGACACGTGAAACTTATTTATTTCTTCAAAATCCTTGATAACGATTTGAGCTCCAGAACAACAATTATCTGAAATCTGATAGACAGCAGTGGTTAATGCAAATTAGTTTTAGTTGTGAAGATAAATTTTCACCACATCATCTTTTGCTCAGTATGGTGACTTGATATTGCTTGTTACCGCGGGTCGATAATGTTCAATATCAAATGACGTGACTGCAAAAAAATTTGCCTCAAAGATAACTAGAG